ATAAAAAATGTAATTCAATTAGTAACCTCTAATTCTATAAGGGTATTTTATTTACCTTCTAGCCAGCTGTGCCAGGTGTTATGATCTGTTATTGACGATAACATCACTTGACTTCTGTCAAGTTAATTTTCAAACTAAATGTAATTAATTATAAAATCCCTTCTAATAGAATAGAATAGAGAATTCAAAGAATTGAACATTATAAATTATTTGGAAACTATTAAGATAGTCGGTAAGAACCTTGGAAATGATAAAAAACACCTTAGGGAGAAGAGTAGATTTTGGCTTTGTTTTACTGTGCTTAAGCATGCATGAAGAGTTCGTTGTGTGGTTTTTTCTTCCGTTTTTTTTTTTAATTAATGAACTTACTTTTGATGCCTGCCCACCCACCTCCCACCCCCAATTTCCACATATTTTTCGCTGCGCTCTCTAGAGCAATATGCGATTATGGATGCAGGCCAACTTGTTTCGGTTGATGCTTTGTTTGTCCGTTTGTGGATTTCTGTTTCGTTGGTTTTTCATCTCGGTGCTTATGACACTCGACTGGATTAGCGGTTAACATAATTAAAAAGGCGGAGGGAGGTGAATGAAGAAATTACGTCAACCATTAAGAAAAAAAAACATTCAGATACTTGAGTTTCGAAAGCATTGAGAAGTGCTTTTGTGCAGGGATGAAAATATAAAAAATAATTAACTAAAGCTCAATACCCATTCAGTTACATCGTTAAATATTTAAAGTTTGTTTTCTCTTTTTGAATGAAATCGTGCCTACAAATGGACACTAAAAAGACGTGGTAAACAAAGTAAATCGCCGAAATCGATCCACCCTCGTTTGTTTTTGCGTCAAAGAAAAATACTTGTGCCAGATTGCAATTGAAGCGGCTCTCATTACCCGCTATCCATCCCCCAAATCAGGGCCGCTCCCCGTATCTCGGTACCCCAAAATGTGCCAAAAGGCGATGGCGAAAGCTAATCAAAAACCACTTAAATGGAAACGGAGGCATTAGTGAACCTCCCCACCGATCGCCCAATCCAATACCAACGGCCCTTTGCCAACAGAATAACAGAATCACCGAGCACGCAATGCCAGTTATCGCTCGTTTGGGCCCTATTCCACTATTGCCAGCTTTTCTGCTTTGTCGGATTTGAATTCTCTTCACTATTATTATTATTATGCCCCGCTGATTGACTCAAGTGAAGGTTATGACATTCAAATTATATTTTCAATAAGCGTCGGGCGCTAATCAAACAAACTTGACGAGATTCCTTCTCTAAAAAGGAGACGTCACTGTAACGACAACTAGATACCCATGAAAAAGAACACTTTCCTCATTGTAAAATACCAACACACACAGGAGTGACAAGGCTTCAACGAACATATGTTTGCCCTATGGTACATGGATCTTCAACGCCGAAATTGCTAGATCGCAGCTTAAACCATATTTTTATACCCTTGCAGAGGGTATTATAATTTTGGTCAAAAGTGTGCAACGCAGTGAAGGAGGCATCTCCGACCCTATAAAGTATATATATTCTTGATCAGGATCACCTCCTGAGTTGATATAGCCATGTCCGTCTGTCCGTCTGTCCGTCTGTCCGTCTGTCTGTCCGTCTGTCCGTCTGTCTGTTTCTACGCAAACTAGTCTCTCAGTTTTAAAGCTATCGAATTGAAACTTTGCACACACCCTTCTTTCCTTTGCACGCAGTATATAAGTCGGAACGGCCGGGATCGGCCGACTATATCCTATAGCTGCCATATAACTGATTGATCGGAAATGCCATAACTCTGCTGTTTGTTAAGTTAGGAAGTTGGGACTCTCTATGGGTATTATATTTGGCCAATCAATCCGACGTACCAAATTTCATAAGGATCGGCCGACTATATCCTATAGCTGCCATATAACTGATTGATCGGAAATGCCATAACTTTGGTGTTTGTAAAGTTAGAAAGTTGGGATGTTCTATGGGTTTTATATTTGGCCAATCAATCCGACCTACCAAATTTCATAAGGATCGGCCGACTATATCCTATAGCTGCCATATAACTGAACGATTGGAAATGCCATAACTTTGGTGTTTGTAAAGTTAGAAAGTTAAGATTTTCTACAGGTTTTATATTTGGCCAATCAATCCGACCTACCAAATTTCATAAGGATCGGCCGACTATATCCTATAGCTGCCATATAACTGAACGATTCGAAATGCCATATCTTTGGTGTTTTTAAAGTTAGGAAGTTTGGATTTTTTATGAGTATTAAGAATGCATCATAGGAATAATTTTGGAGAATATTATTATAGAGAATTCTGCAAGGGTATATCAACTTCGGCTCCGCCCGAAGTTAGCTTTCCTTTCTTGTTTTACAGCTAAAACCAGTTGGGAATTATAATGTCGCAGGCGTACGCAAAAACACATAAACAAGTCAATCTTTATGCTTATCGGATAAAATTTTAGTAAGATTTGTTTATAATATTGTAAAAATAAAAAAGGTGTTGACATTATCTTTAAGATTTAAACGGTTCACATTTATTAGTGTAAATTTACGTTTAATCATCCAAATCGTAAGCTTTCACAAATTCAAGACACCATATTGTTATGCACAATTACAGGGCATGTAATCGCACAACGACAAGAGCGTTGACGACCTGGCATGAGAGAACATTTGTAAGGACTTTTGGCGACATCGACGACACACGAGAAAGCTATATATGGGGATGGCATACTCGTACAAGCGAAAGGGCGGAGAGCCTACCAACTCAATTATACAAATATTATTCAAACATTAGAAATGCATCAAAATAACGAAGGATATTTGTCAGGGCACGGAACGGAACCCTTGGAGAGCCCACCAACACACGATGTCTGTCACTGGGACAAGGATGACTCGGCAGCGACTTTTCCGCTGGAGAAACGGAGAAAACAGAGCCTTGGCACACTCTCCAAGGCACCAGCACGTGCGAAATGGGGGAAAAATGGGACAACAGGCCAATCAATAACAGTGTGCAGCATGTAACAATGGGGGGATAACAATCATTTACTGGGGTTAAGGTTTCCCCTTCAGTTGGCTTGGGGTTAAGGCTTCTGGCATGATAATTGCGATATTTGTAAGGTAACTTGTTGCTCTAAACTCTAGAGTTTCCGGGCATTTGACGAACATTCCAATGCAACTGGTTTTAAGTTTAAAGAACTAAAAATGTTTGAAAAATCAAAACTTAAGTCGCTTTGCAAAGTTGAATTATTTGGAAACCTGAATCAAAACCCTATCTTTATAGTCCATTTCACTTTCTTCATTTTAAGGTTTTCACGATAAATTTAAATAAGAATTATCGCTTGTCTTTTATGAGTCCGAATACCAAACTCATTAGTTGCAGGTGTATATTTTGTTATTGATTCATTAAAATCTTTAGTTTTTCGCTGGTTTGTCATTGCAGCTGATTAGATGACAAAGGTAAAGGTAAATATTTTTATCAGGGATTTAAATCGTTAGCGTAACTGATATATAAGATTATTAAAAGATTTGATTAAATTTTTGTACTGCAAAGAAAGAAATAACTTCGAAAAATCGCTTAACGAAATAGAAAAAAGTCGGAAAAAGTTATATAACCATTGCACGTTTCGACTAGATTCCCTGATTTTGTCCACTAACTATTTGCGCACTCAGCGCCAATCAATTTTTATATAGTTTATGATTATTGTGTATCACCCAGAAGCGCTGCAGTTGCTTCTGATGTCGCGTGTCACATTCAACGAAATTATTTTTTGGACAACAATTGCCCCCTCACCCAATCCCCATCCCACCCCAATTTTCTAACCCTTCCTGCACTTTTCTCTGTTTTATTTATATAATTTGTTTCGCATTACATTTGACGATAGTGGATTTTGCGTCGTGTGAAAACAATTAGATGAAGGCAATTCGGATTGTGGCTTTTACTGGGAACTGTGTGGGTGTCTAGATTGATTGCATAACACACATATATAAACATATATTTTTGTAAAGTACTATATGTACCTAATCGGGGCAGGCGGTGCTGGTCAAGCGTTGGCACTGACATTGCGATTGCAGTTCCGGAAAAGTAGACAGTAATCGCACACCAAATCATAAATATTATTAAATTCTTGCCCATTTAATCGTTTTTATTTATAATTATTTTGGGTGATCGGAGCAGAGCAAAATCTTTGACTACTGTATATGGGACCTAAAGATTAATTTGGATTATCGGTTGGAAAATACATATCTTGAAAACTTAATAATTTTGTTGGTTACTTTACCCTATTATGAATAATATTTTATTTCCTAAGTTTGAAGGGCATTTCCAAAAAATCATTATTAGCAAGTAACTTAATCTGTACTAACTCCTAATTGTATTTTTATACAGAACCTGTACTGAAAATAATGTATTACTTTTTAATATAAATGATGTCACTAACGATAATTTTAGTAAAACCCAACTTATGATTGGTATTTCCCCACCGATTAAGTGTAACCTGACTCATCAATGGGATTTATTTTATGAATGCGTAATTATGAATCGATTGAATACAATCGTAATGCACAAATGCAGTAGCGGATAAAAGACCAATATTTTTGTGGAGTGTAGCCAAGGGTAGTGCTGATTAAGTGGGTATGTATCGCTTATTGGTTCGGAATTGCATCCCTTTGTGCTTTCCAAGCTTTTAGCCGTGTGACAAGCGAGTGAGCTGGCCGTGAAGTGATAAGTGTGGATTGGATTGGATTGGATTGGATTGGCTTGGCTGATTGGGGAACAAGCGCCAGAGGTCCTTTTCCAGTGACGTGGAAAGGGGGAGAAGGACGACAGCACGCTACTGAGAGTATGAGTCATGGTCGTGGTTTGGTGGGGTTTCTGTGGGACTCGTGGGGCTTGGACAGCCGCTTTATGGTTGTTTACTTTGCACTGGAGTGGAGCTGAGTGGCTGGAATGAGATGATGATGATCATCAACATCAACATCAACAGTGATCAAGGTTATTTTAGGTGGTAATACCAAACTCGGCGACGAAAAAGTCGCGCAGTTTCAATCTGGATTTCTTGGGCTCCTCGCGCGGATGATGGACGGTGATCTGGTCGCCGTCGGCCGATATCATCGTCTCGCTGGGCGGCGATATCGAGTACTGTTGCAGCAGTCGTCGCTGCTGTTCGGTGAGCTCTTCCAGCGGATCGTGACTGGACCCCGCGCCAGCCCCAGATCCTGACCCCGATCCCGATCCCGATCCGGATCCCGATCCCGATCCGTATCCGGATCCAAAAGAGGCCGCCAACGCCGAGTAACTGCTGCTGATCGTGGGCGATGATGCGGAAACGGCGGCAGCGGCGGCGGCCGCTGAAGCGGTGGCCACGGCGGCGGCCGCTCCGCCGGCGGCGGCCAATTGTTGAGCGATTAGCAGCTTCTGGGCGTGCTCTTCGGCCTCTTTTTGCTTTTTAAAGTCTTTCGATGGATACATGTATGTATACACATATATATATATATATATATAGATTCGGAATGGAAATATAACTGGGCGGGAAAGGGAAACGTAAACGAAAAAACATGAAAAAAACACACAGTGGGAAAGACGAGAGCGAAAATGCCATCCTTTCTCGGAAAAGCGAAAAACACGACAGCCCGGCAAAATGCCCTAAAAATTCAATTTCAATTTGCAATTTGACAAATGAAATTTCTCTGCCGCTGCTGCTTTTTCTGCTTTTGCTTCTGTAGCCGTTGCCGATGACAGAGGCTGATGACGCTTCATATATCAAAATTAATGACATTTTTTGGGGGGCGGAAAACGGGAACGCAGTGCCATGACCTAGCCCACTCAATGACCTTGACAAATTGTGGGTCTACCGCGACCATCTCGCCCAATCTGTCTCTTTTTCTATTGCCCCATGCCTCGTTTGTCATCTGGGAGTAGTTTAATACACACGCAGTGGTCACTTGGTACATAGAACCAGTCCTTTTTCTCTTTGGAAAAACTATATTTTTGGATTGATATCATTTAAATTTGCATCAATAAAATTAAGCCGAAAAATTGTATTTCCTATTTTTCAATTATTTAAAATTTGGCAATTTTTAAATAATTTTCTATCATTCAAATAAGATATCAATAATTTTCAATCTCCCTAACACATTTTTAAAATTAATTTCAATTTTATAAAAATACACATAAATAAAAATATCTTAAACTTGTTAATAGATTTGTCATTTTGAAAAGTTAAATAGAAATAGAAGCTGGTAATAAAAATTGAAAGACTTTTTCCAACGCACATTTTTTAAAATTCCTATCAAATTTTAGAGTACCATATTACAAATGTAGTTGATTTTTTAAATTCAAACTTATTCCGCACCAATACGATTCTACTGCATTAATGTGAAATTATCTAAAAAAATTATGAATTCTTGTTTTTATTTTAGAGAATCAACTTGCTTCAACTTACAGTGACCACTGTAGTTGAGTAGTGTCTTCTTGGCGTACAAAAAAAAAGGGAAAACGAAAGACAGAATCAGACGTGGAAAAGAGAAACTCATTGCGGAAATGGACAAAAACCGAAAATCGCAATGTTCAAATGCAATTTCCCCGTCGGCCGAAGCCAAACCCCCCAAACCCCCCAAAGCCCCCCCATAAAACCACCCATCCTGCCTCATCTTCGACATTGGCTGACACTTGCAAAACGAGAAAAGCGCTAAGCGGCTTAAGCAACCCTCGCAAATGTTGGCAGCGGGGAAACCCAAACCGAAGCTGAAGCGAGGGAGGTTGCAAAAATGTAAACTATTTAGCGCTTTTACGCTTTGCAAAAGGTTGCATGATGACGACGATGACACAACCCCTACCACGCTTTTTAAGCCCCCTACACAGTGGACATCAGCTATAGCAGTCCCGATAGCCAATAAGTACCTAAATATTCAGCACAATATTCAAAATATTCCAATCCAAGTGAGTTATATGCTTTCGAAATTTCTCAATTTTCTTTTACAAAATTTGGTGTTTTCACTTAAAAACAGTAATATTTTAAATTATGTTTTACTTACTAAACTCACATGTGCATTTCTGACGATTTAGTATAGTTTTCTGGATTTACATGCATATATCTTAAAAATACCGAAGTTTTCCTACTAAAAGAAAACCATGCACAAAAAGACACAATAATATTAATTTTCATTTGATATTCGAGTTTTGATTTTTTTCTGGTCGGTTGTCTGATTAAAATGGCAGCTACACATTAAGTCCATTTCGAAGGCTTTAAAATTTAGTGAGTAAAAGCATTTAGATATTTCCATATGATAATATTCTGTGTACAAATTCAAGTTCTTTAATGTTAAATTAAACTGATATTTACTGTGTGCTCCCTGATTTGCCAAAGCAAACATTATCATACATGCAAATGTAGTACGCACCTACTATACAAAATCATTTCAATTTGATAATTAAATTTGTGCCTATTGGGATGAAAAAGATTTTATTTAACAGCCAATGATCTCGACCGATATTCACTGTACCCCCAGCGATGGTCGCGTGACACGATCGTGTGTGTGGTCCCTCTCTAATGGTCAGTGGGGCTCCTTTACGCTTATCTCATTATCAAGAACTCATGTGATTTCATTCCTTCGACGGCAATATCGTGGCTATTTTTTTGAATCACACCCTCGTTTATCAGTTCGATGACGTCATGGGCATCCGATATAGATAAACATATACATTAAACCGAAAATCATTGCGGGACAGCCGGCGAAAGGGAGATGGCACGACTAACAGCACGATCGCTGTTAGCGTTATGTAAACGCTAATGAGCGTAACAGCATGTCGATGTTCTTGTTGTTGTTGTTTTCCGAGAGGAGCAATGAAAATCAATTAAAACTAATTGATTCAAGAGTCAAATTCAAACGGTTGCAGCAGCGGCGGCAGAGAAAAGGGGCTCAAAAAAGAAAAACTACTGCCATTTAAGCGAACAATGTGCAATAATTAGAAAATGCAATCGCTCACACACACACACACACAGTGATAAACTGGGTTATAAATTAAAATGGGGGTAAGGACAGGGGCGTGGGGTGGAGGGGGTTAGGGGTTAGGGGGTTAGGGAGGGAAAATCCAAAGGGGGTCAAAATCTACTTACTCTCCAGCAGCCGCTGTATCAAACTGTCCACATTCAGATCGAAGTCGCCCATTTTTCAGCAGCTAAATTGTTCTTGGCCGCGTTTTGTTGTTGTGGCCAGCTGTTCCAGAATTCCGATTGGAATTTTTGGCGCAACAACTACACGCACACACGCACGCACACAGCGACGCCCGTTATACTTATATACTTTAATGTAAACAACAATTTCCGTTACCAATTGTTGTTTTCTTTTTTTTTAGAATTATTTTTTCTTATTTGCCGCAAAAGGCAATTTCACTTTATAATTTTTTTTCGGTGGGCCGCTCTAGTTCACTGATGTTGCACACGAGGGGGCAAAAACAGAAAAAAATACGCACGGCCGCTCGAGTTTCGGGGTTCCGATTCGATCGCAGATCGGTCAGAACAGAGAATAATGGGGCTGAGAAATCGGCTTAACTGAGAATTTATAAACCACCGTAATTTCTATTCTGGTTTTTTCTCCGCCAATAACAAAACTCGTCGGACTCGCCAGCTAGCTGAGTGTGACCGTTCGCTGGAGGGCTGGAAAAGTTTGGAAACGTATCGATAGGCCGATATGCACACAGCAACCAGTGCTCAGCAACGCGGCAGTGAAATGTCAAAGTGCTTTCTGTCAAGCGCGTGTCATTTGAAATTTTCACTTGTGTGTTCACTTCTTCTAAAACAACTCAACGAACAGTTCGGTCGTTTACGTTTGCACTGAAATTTTTACAAAATTTTTTCACTTGCCTCAAAGATTATTCGACTAATCGTTTGCTCGCTTGCGTTAGCGCTTACCTTGCTTCCAAATTTAAACCCAATATTTGACGCTCTTCAAGATGCCAGCAAGGATCAATTGGGTGCTTAAAGTTTTGGTTGCCACAAACAAGAAGTTAATCGTACAGGCTTTGGTTTTCGTCATGTTGGCCAGCTCAATGATGTACTTCGAGGTGGACAACGCGATTGCCGAGACCTTGGCTTACTGGTTGAACCTGGGCTGGCAAGGACCCATGTGGAACCATCGTACTGCGCTTCTCACTTACGGATTGTGCCTCTTCCTCGTTCTCGGCGCCGTCATCTTGCAGCGCCGCTTCCGTATCTTCAACACCAATCGTGTGGCCTAAGCACCTGCCACAGGATCCGGAGGGGTGTCCTGGGCACCTACCACAGGATCTGGAGGAGCAGGTGGCCCCAGGGACGGATGACCGGACAGTAGGATTTAAAAGGCATCTCCGATTCCCTAATAAAATAACCAAATCATATCAAAAACTTTAATGTTATTCATTTGTTTACAAAACCTTAGCTTGGCAGAAAGGAAAATGGCGACAAGGCAGCTGTGTATTTCTTATTCACTCGAGCTTCCATCAATTTACTTTAATTAACTTAAGCAACATAAAAAAATGCATATTCTAGAAATACAAAATTATATGAATCGCTAAGCTTTTTCATTTAATTATAATAAACTAAAACTAAGTTTTGAACAGTAAAACCCACTTTTAGCTAACCATGAAGCCAAGGAAGGCTGCGCATATATGTTCAAATATTTATTTAAGTTGAAAATGTAAAATGTATTTAAAAATTACTTGAATGAATGGATTTACCGATTTATATTTTATGGGAATTCCATACAACCATAATCCGCCATTTTTAGCACTACCACTTGGGGATTTGGTATTTTGCCGCCCTGGCTTTCGCTAGCTGACTGTGCAGCCCTGGCAACCGCGCAAAAATGAACAATTCTTGTGTTTACAACCGATAAGAGAAGAGCCGCGCCGGAATGAACTATTTCCCGAACTATTACTCCATCGAGGACATCTTCGTGACCCAGGAGAAGGTGGAGTGCCGGGTGAACACGAAGCTGCAGCGGATGGGTGAGTGATTCGCGTGGAGCGATGTTTGGGAACCCACTGAAACCAAATGCCCGGTGATTCGCAGGCTTCCTGGATGCCGGCGCCGAGACGGAAGACTTGGAGCCCGGACGCACGGTCAACCTGCCGCTCTGGTACATCAAGGAGCTGAAGGTGAACAACGCCTACTTCACCGTCTCAGTGCCGGAGATCTACCGCAACGTGCACAAGGCCGTCTGCGAGGCGGAGACCACCCATATCGAGCTGGGGCGCCTGCATCCGTACTTCTACGAGTTCGGCCGCTATCTGACGCCCTACGACCGCCACCACGTCATCGGACGGATCATCTTCGAGACGCTCCGCCAGCGGGTGCGCCACTTGCTGGACATCTCCAAAAGCGACGGCCAGGCGGCCAAGCCGGAGCACCGCCTGGACAACATAGAGGCCAAGCTGCACGAGGCGGGAGTTCGAACTAACAGCCAGGTGGGCACATTCTCTTCCCTGATTGAAAGGTTCTCCTTCTCCGTAGCTTTATTTCTTCTTATCCAATGGGCCTTTTTGACTTTAGCGATGTTACTCCTAGCCATTCGGGCAAAGATTCGTTGCATCCATCTTCGGACTTAGTAGCCTCAACCTGTCTTCTTAAAACCCATCATTTTGGGACATAATTTTTTTCAAATTCTATGTTCTAAGTTCCGTACTTATAGCAGTTATTCAATTTACGCCTAAGGACTTAGTACTATCTTCAGTCTTAATTTTGTCTATACCTAGTACACCTAGTACCAACTTTTATGTTTTTGTCCAAATTAAGTTGGTTCGAAAGGCCTTTTTGACCTTTAATAAGTTGCTTGACCTTTCTTGAATGTTTCTTTTACAAAACCTATATTTTTCCGCTGGAGGAGTTTTGAGACTCAGCTGAGAACTGTAAGAACTGCGGCTTAGATACTTAAACCAATATTAGAACTCAGATAGAAAATATTAATCTACTGAAAATTAGACTCATAAAACTCAAAAAATTCCCATTTCAGTACATTGAATGGCTGCAGATGACGGGCAACAAGATCAGAACCTCGGAGCTGGTGGAGGAGCACCAGAAAAAGCGACGGCGGGCGGATCGCAGCGATGACGAGGGCGAGGTCCTGCCCAACAGCAAGCGGGCCACCTTATGATCCATCCCAGCACAGTAAACTACCCCTGGCAGATGTCTTGGAACTGTAGCAACTTTATTTCGTCCATTCTTTTGGTGGCCACAGGGCGGCCTTACCTCTCAAAAATACACTTGATCTATGCACTCGGCTATGTCCATTTGTACAGTTCAAAATACATGGAATCGCATACATCTACACATAACTAAGCATCCGATCTGGGGCCGGTCTTAAACTATACTCCTAGGAGCTGCCGGTTTGCGCTTTCCATGGACTTGGCAATAAGCCAAATAACCGCGCATCCTTCTACGACAATGCGCCACATTATTACATATAAATAGTTAACTACATATATAATTATAATCTTGTAAGCTCAATTAAAATTTGATTTTGTGCTAGTTTCACATACATTTCACAAATAAACATTCGCCAATGTCAGCATACATAGGTAGTAGTTCCTCAGAAGCAACCAATAGGACTTATATTTCAGGGACCGTAATGCGTATACGTTTTCTAGCTCTGGATTGTGCTGTTTTATGTATCTTGGAAGAATTTTCAATAGACAATTCGCATTTCTAGACTGAATAAAACAAAGTAGGTAGTAGCTCAAAATATAGACAAATAATATTTATAATTAGTAGTAAATAAAGCTCGTATTTGTTCCATCGAATAAAATAATATTTTTGATTACATTAGTTTCAAATAAATACTAAATTTGAGTGCGAATGTGCTGAACTCAATATGGAAATACGCTGCTATACAAAAAATATTTTCAAAAATATCAAAACCTTGGAAATATCAATAAAAAGTTGGACATTCCAAAAAATGATTAGAAAAGTATGACTGCTTAAGCACTTTGTAGACTAAAGGTAGAATGATTTCAAAATATCATATACAGGTTCTTGTCATGCTATATCATGCTATGAAATTATAAAGTCAAATAAATCAAAATTAAAATACAATATATTTGTTTAATTTTTCATTCTGTGGAATTACATGATTAAGATGTAGGTACTGTATATTTTAGTTGGTTATGATATATTTAACGGTTGGCTTTGGCTAATTTGTTTTCTGGGCGGCTTCTAAATAAATTTGGCAAACATGTAAAACATGTACTCATGCCAGCTACTGTACAAAGTTTCATACTTTATTTGGCCTTTCAATTTAGACTCTTGTTTTATGTATGTAAGAAAACACAAAGAATGTTTTACGGTCCCCGGATATCTATATCTGTTTTGATCACTATACAATCGATCAAGGCCGGCAAATGCAGTAATATATGCGCATCGAACATTCCTAGTTATACATCTGGCCAATCTCCTTTGGCTTTAATATGCTTTTCAGTTATCTTCGCTATATATATTTCTAACAGGTTATGTTATTAACACAAGCTTGTCCCTCTACAATTTTCGGGGCGATTAACAACATCGATTTTGTGGATATAGCAAGGATTGAATGCAACATTATTTCGTTTATGGTTAGGGGGTTTGCTTCAAAAAATAAGCAACATAGTTTATTCGCTTTATATATGCATTTGGTTTTAGTTATCTTTTTGTTCTTAGTTTTTCACTTTTTTTTAGTAAATAATGTATTTTTAAAACTAAACATCTGTCCCTGGTCTTTTCTGTTTTCTGTAATCCTCTCATGATTCCGGTTCCGAGTTTAATTTCCGTCCGTCCTGGTGAGTCTGTTATCTGGGTAAAGGGTCGTTGTTGTATAACTAATTGTTAAAAATGTATAAACAATAGCAAGATCTCCGCAAAATGGAAGCGGCTGGAACTGTGCCTCAAAATAAATACATGGATACAAGCAAACAGTTTACAATTTGCACTAGTTTTTGCCATTTTTGAGGGCGGTGGGGATAGGCGTGGCCCCAGACGTGGCTGGGAGCATCGCGTTGGGCGGTCGTCGCTTTTGTGGTAGGAAGACCTGAAAAATATAAGGATACACGAAAGTGAGCAAGACAGAATATAAATATTTTCCTTTGCAATTTCAACCAATTTTGTAATCAGTAAATAACTAGCAAAATGTTTGTACTCAATTCGAATAAAACCAATGGCTAATTCTTTACTTTATCGTTTATAATATATATTATAAAATATAGTATTAAATATTCCTTAAAGATTTGCAATTTTGAAAAAAAAAAAACTTGGAAATTTTTTCCTTAAACTTAAAATTGGTTGTGTGCTGGGGAAGAAAGATTGCTCACCTTGAGGGCCCCCAAAACCATCAGATAGAACCAGTAGAGCTGTGGCAAGAACAGAATGGCGATGCTGACCAGGCAGCCCCGTGGCAGCCCGCACATGGCCGCCCACATGGAGGCGGCCTCGATGGCCAGGCTGTAGCGCCACATCACGTATGGCCACATGCAGACGCGGCACACGAAGAAGGTGGCCAACATGAGCAGTCCGTTGGCGATGTACACGCGCGAATCCTTCAGCCGCATGGTGCTCAGGATGCTGCGCAGCGAGACGAACGGCGTGGAGAACTCCATCATGAACATGTAGCTGTAGATGCAGTGCCCACCGCCGCGGATGTACTGCATTAAACAAAAGATATATGATTTAGTATAGGAATATTGTAAGGCATTGCATATAACCCATTACATATGTCCTTAATGTTTTAACATTAATGGAAGTATAATTTTTCACTGGATTTTGTCCACATTCCGAATCTGGCAACGAAAATATTCCACCACATCAGCCATTCCTTAAAGTCGAAAAAATGTATATTTAGATAATATTTGAACCCTAATAACAGGGAACGGCTTCTTGTTTTGGCCAAGTAAAACTAATTCGATTTTAAATATATTTTGAAACAATTTTAAGTTATTGAGATGAAAAGTGCAACTGGCCCTGTTCCCATACAAATGTTGTTCAAATTAATGTATGTAAAATGAGATAGTCTTACTTTTCTACTTATAATTAATTTGTATAATGATAAAAATAATTAATTTGTTTGGTTTTAACTACATATGTCAAAACCAAATAGTTGCTCTAAAATAGTTTTAAAAACATTTATTCAATTAGGTACAAAAATGATCAAAATCTTAATTTTTCGAACTTTAAGGTCCACTTTTTAAAAACGCTGACGTGGAGAAACATTTTTCTGGGCAGATTCGGACTCAGGACACCGAAATCTATTGAGAAAGTATACTTTCATTAAAACAGTATAATTATTAAGCCCTGGCAAGTGGTGTTCCATAAAATGTATGGAACTACAAGGGCTTTAAACTAGGGTTATTCATATATAAATAAATATCATATCCGGCTTGCTCTTACCGTCACCACCAGCAGTCCAAACGTTCCGATAAAGACGTGGTGTATCATCATGACCGGGTGCGTGATGACATACTTGAGGAAGTCCCAGCGCCCGTCCTTGGGAATCTGGACGCAGGCGCCGTCGTAGTCGCAGATCTCGTGTGGGGTGCCCGGAGTGCTGCCGTTGTTGTTGCCGCCGGACGACTGCCCGTTGACCTTGCCGTTGGCGTGACCGTTGCTCAGCGGCGACCCCTGACCTTTGGTGATGCGCAGCAGGTGCAATTTATCGGCGAGCTTCTGGGTGTGCACCTTGTACATCGACCAGATGTCGTACATAAAGTAGGCGGTGCCGAACCAGCCGTAGGCCTCCATCAAGAAGTGCGACGCATAAACGAAGGACTTGGTGCACGTCGACTTGCAGACGATGAGTCCCACGAGGAAGGAGAAGGAAGCCTGGATGGCCGATACGATTCTGGAAGCATAAAGAGAAATGCCATTACAAATCAAGTAAGTATGTATATGTTATTGCAGCGAAATAATATTTAAATAACAATAAATCTCTATTATCTATGCTTTCTATGAGAACACAGTTAATCAGCAAGAATACTGTTAAGCATAGCGTTTTCTTTATGTCTCATTTATGTAATTGATTGACCCAAGTTTTTAAAGTAGTTATTAAGCACATATTGATAGATTTTCTACATTTAATCAAAGCAAGTCAGATCGGTAATCTGGAGAGTTTAATTAATGATATGTCGGAATGCGTTAGTTCTTTCAGATAATCGACTTAGAACTCAACTAGACCTTCAGATTTCGACAGAACGCATACACTCATAGAAAATTTATTCAAAATTTTTGGTAATCAACTGGAAAAAGACATCCCCTCCCATAAAAAAAGGAAACAAAAAATAACAGAATCCCGAAATCAAACCAAAGTCATCCCTTCCACCATCTCCAAACCCAATCCAAGCCACCGCAAATGGAGCCGTGTGATCCCGGACCGGAGAGGGCCATGCGCCTGTACCTATCCCAGCTGCTGGAGACCGGCAAGACCCGCTCCTCGGGCTGTCTGGACCGCTTCCTCCTGAAGAACATGACCAACTACCCACCGCCACCGCCACCACCACCTCCACCACCGCCAGCGTCGTCCATCGAGGCCAAGGCTTCGCGTTGCTCGCTCTTCGAGCAGCTCCTGTGCGGCGGGAGCCGGAGGTCAGAGCGCCTGCTGGTGCCCGATCTGGCCACCGAGTGGTTCCGCAAGCAGAAGGTCTTCCTGGACAAGCTCACCGCGGAGGAGCTGGCCGCCCTGAGCGATGGGCTGGCGGACAGGCAGCACCCGATGCGGCGTCGTCCGGCTCCCTGTCGCCAGCTGGGCAGGCCCCGCTGCAGATCCCCGGCTCCGGAGGCCAGTCAAGCGCTGGAAGTAGAGGAGCCAGTGGGCAAGGTGGCCGCATGTGTTCCCACCACGGAGCCCAGGCCGGGTAATCCCTTCCTAATCAGCAATAGGCCAGCGGAGGAGATGCGGAGCAAGAGTCCTAGGCGTGGAAGGAAGCTCCACCTGGACGCGGGGGGCCATCGCAGGCGGGGCAGCTGCTCCTGCCTGAAGGGGCGGGCAGGGACATCCCACGAGTGCCTCTTCCAGGCCGATGGACAGCCCATGGCCAGCGAGTGTTTGGCGGCTCGCCGGACGGAGCCGCTGTTGCCGCGCCTGCGCCGCAAGTTCGACTTGCGCCAGGCGCCCCAGCGGCGGCTCGATCCGGCCCTCTTCCGCCGCATCTCGCCGGAGTTCTTCCGCATCCTGGCCAGCTACGAGGCGGCCATGAGCGAGATCTGCCCGCTTTACGGCATCTCAATGCAGCACTGGGGCGAGACTGCGGCCTGTTGTCCGTGTGAGGAGGCCCACTCCCACTCGAAGCAGCGCTTCCTGGGCGACGATGCGGTGGCCACTGCCGTGGTGCATCCCTCCTGGCCGCCACTCGAAACTCGGCAGCCAGAGAAGGAGCCGTCCACCAAGAAGCAAGCGGAGAGAAGAGCTGTCAAATCTCAAAAGGAGCAAGTGGAGAAGAAGGCGAAGAAGCCCTGCAACAACGACTCTTGCACCAATGAGTCCTGTCAATTGAAGAAGGGAATCGAAAAGGGGGCCAACGAGGATCGGATTACCTCCGAGGATGAGCGCCAGGAACAAAGGCGTGGGAAGCAGAAAGACAGACAGAAACGAAGGTCGATTTCCTCCGAGGATGAGGAACAAGAAAAAAGACATAGGAAGCCGGACGACAGGCGGCAACGGAGGGAGGAAAGTCAGGAGGATGAGCAGCTTGAAGGGAGTGACTGGAAGGCAAGCCAGCAGACTGTGAAGTCTTCAAATCCCCCGGAGGAGCGGCAGTGGCGAAGCCATGACCAGTCGGACAGCAAGCAGACAGTCCAGTCGACCAAACCCCCCGGGAGACGGAGGAAATTCGGCAGCTATTTCCGCCGGCACCCGCAGCAATATAGGACAGCCTATGTTCCCTCGAATTTCGCTCCGCCATCTGCTCATCCACTGACTCATTCACCTGCTAATCCAGCTGCTCATCCAGCTGCTCATCCACCTGCTCATCCAACTGCTCATCCAACTGCTAATCCAGCTCCTCATCCAGCTCCTCATCCAGCTGCTAATCCAGCTGCTCATCCACCTGCTCATCAAACTGCTCCTCTTCCGCCTCACGTAATGCCTCCCGATTATACTTCGGCCGAATCCGAGCAACTTCCCAAGAGCATTATCGGCGGATTCACCTGCATGTGCAAGCGCTGCGTGGAACCGGGTCGCCACCTGCTCTACAACCTCAACGCCAACTACCACCAGAACCGGGAGAGGTACGGCCAGATGCGGCAGAGCAGGAAACGGCACAAGAAGCAGGAGCGGCATCCGCCATTCCACGTGACCTCGCAGCCGGCGCCATGCAGCTGGAAGACATGCAAGGCGGATTTAAATGGGTCGCCCGAGGAGGGAGACAGCAGCACCACGCTGAGACCCTGCGTCGCTTCCGAATGTGGATTCCAGACTGGACAAGTGGCCCAAATCCAAGCGGAGAGCGAACAGTCCTTGCCCTTTCGCACCCCGGCTAGCGAACGAACGTTGGTGGAATGCAATCAGGCCAAGTTACCTGCGGTGAAGTCTGAGGTGGACTGCCAGTGTGGACTGCCGCAGGAGACCTTCCAGCTTCCGCCCGTCAGGAGGTGCAGTTACTCGCCGGAAAAGCGGGAACAACATGTGCTCCGGAGCACCGAGGTCCCGAAGAAGTACTCCCCCCCTGCAGACTACTCCAAGTGTGGTAAGCGAGTTCGGGCCTGCTATTTGGCCAATGATTTCCACCAGCTTATGCGACGCGTGGCCAGGAAAAGACCATCCCCCAAAACTCGGATCACAGGCAGACCCAAGGTGTCGGGTAATGCCACCTCCAAGAGGATAGGAAAAGCTGCCCATCAAATGGCTCAGCATCCATCCACCACCGACGCTTCCGTTGCCAATCCTGCAGCACAAATTAGAGTCCAACCCAAATCCACTTCGAAATCGGGTGCAAGGCGGAAACCAAAAATGAAGGGAGCACTGCTGCCAGAACAAAGTCCCACCAAGAACTTGATTATTCCCCATGCGGCCACCGATGTTCCCAAGCTGCGGTGTCTGCGGAAGGTCACGAAAAAGAGAGTGGAGCCCAAGAAAGCCCCATTGACCAAGAGCACCAGTTTTCTCAGCCTGGACGTTTCCAAGGCGCGAAGCGATATGCCATCGGAGAGGAGCCATCCTCAAGAGATCCCAAGCAGCAGTCAGCCTCATTTCTCCAGTCAAAGGGGAAACCAAACCACCTATTCCTCCAATCCCAGTGGAACGAAAGAGAATTGGAAGCCTTCGTCCTCGCCGAGGTGCATATCTCCCAAACGACAACGGGAAGCAAAGGTCAGCTGCTCTCAGGACAGTCGTCCCAGGAACTGGCGACCTGATCCCAAGCCATCCAACTGGAGTTCAAACAAAATGCGGAGTCGAAAGAGAACGCCTCCCCGCAGCTCCTCCAGCAGTTCACTGGAGCGCTCCTCGAGCGGACCACGCTACGCGTCCACGGAGGTCAGTGCAGTGAGTGACTATTACAAGTCCAAGACGAGCTCCATGTCAAGAGGTCCTAACACTTCGAATACCTCCCAATGGTCGTCACAGAAGAGTCGGGATGTCAGGCAGAATCCAAGGAAAATGCAGGATTCGAGGCAGACAGTCCTGACCAACTCCTCGTATCCCTCGTGCTCCAATGCCTACTCCAGTCAATATTCAACGATGTGGGAACAGGAGGATCTGAGCCAAGCCCAGTACCAATGTTCGAGCATGAAGTCGTCCATAAAGAAGCCCCCGATCCGATGGCAGCCCTCATTCAGCAGCGCACCCTCGCACTTGGAGACGGGTCGTCGCTACTACACGGACACACAGCCGGGGGGTGAGGGTGGTGGATCCCAGTGCAGCTGTCGCTCCCTGCGCTCCACCAGCTCTATCCGGGCACTTAGCTCCAACACGGACAGTGTGAGGTGTCCCTGTGCTCCCGCTCCGTCGGTGGCCAGTGTGGAGCCACCGCAGGAGGCGGGCAATGAGGAGGAGGAGCAGGGGCAGTGCTATTGTTACAACTATCAACCTCGAAGTCAGGACCAACCCGTGCATAACCCATATATCCAGTCTCCGAGTCACTACGCGCAACAGTGTAACTTGGAACGGACCAAGGATTTCGGTCAGAAGCCACCGTTTTTCAGTACTGCCCTGAGGTGGGAGCCACAGCAGCACCACCATGCTCGCACCCAACTACGCACCCAACGCCCTCCGCCTCAGAAACACCAACAGTTATCCTCGAGATATCCTCAGTACCCAGTAGACAATCTAGCAGGACAACAACAACAATCGAGAGAGTGGGTTCCAGAGTATCAAACGCCTAATCGATGTATATGCAATACCAACCAAAGATGGGGTGACCAGGTGGAAAACACGCAGTATTACCCAGAGAATAACTACTCAATGCAGGAGGTTCAATACGATGAGGGCCTAAGGAATAACCCCTATCCAAGGGATCGAGCTGGAGCCATAAACGCCGCTGCTCAAGGTCTTAGGGGTTTGGTAAACGCTTTGGGAGGAGTTCGGCATAGACCGAGATACAACCCGAATCTCAGAGGAACCAATCAACAACAAGGTTACCACCAAGGAATGATCGACCCTAGTGGCTATAGTCAACAGTCAGTTGGTAAACATGATCCGAATCCCCCGAGGCCAACATTGCCCCCAAGGCAGGGTAGAAATTCAGTTCACTCACAGTATATCTTCAATCCTACAGTGGAAGCTGCAGCACAGGAGGCGAGAAACCACAGGGAGCAAGTCCCCACCTACAAGGGAGCATCCAATTCGGACTTCCTACCCAGAAACAACCACTCAAATTTATACGGCTACTCGATGACGCCCCACAGAGATGGTGAAGGGAACTACATGTCAGTGGAGGGAATGCCCAGCAGCTATAATGAAAGACGAAGCATGGAGGGGGAACAATCGTGGTGCAGGATGGAAGCTGGAGCGGGTAAGGCAAGAGTAAGAGCGGAAAAATCAGTCGGGGAAAGGAGGGGATCTCCTAAGCTCGTTTGCTTTGGCTCTGATATGGATTCCCACACCGAGTCTGCAAGCAGGAGAATGACTTCTGTCCCCAAGAGAGGAAGGCAAACTGGAGGAGCTTGGCACCAAGTCGATGAACCCCCTAAAACTCCCACGCCCCTGGCCATTTTCCTGGACAATTTGAGAGCGAAACACGCTGCCTCTGAAATGGCAGCTAAAACGGTCACCCAAGAGCCCAAAAAAGTGGCCACCCTCGAGAATTTTACAAAAACTATGCTAGTGGGGAGCGAGGACACTTCGTCCGCCAGTGATGATGACACGGACGCGGATGACTGTCTGGACTTAAGGCACAGGCGAATGCGCAGTCCCTCAGAGCTGACCATGGTCATTCCATCCACCTACACGGGACTCCTCGAGGAGCAAATCCTCGGTGAGTACCTGCCCAGGCCGCGGTATAAGCGCAGGTCATAGGTCAAACCGCGATTTTCTTATCCGACGCAATAACCTTAGGTCAGATTGTAATCAAAGATAATACATAAATAAATAAATGTGTAAAGTTTAAAGCGAGTAATACTTTTAGTGTTAAGTTTAAAGTAGGTATTACTTTTGGTTAATAATATGCTGTTCGACATATCACAAAAGAGCGACGTAAAATAGAAAGCAACGTTTCGTTTGCGTCTTTGCAAAAATGCACCTTTACTCTTCGTTGCTCATTTCTTTTTAAATATATGTAAATGACCTTTGTGTGTCTTTGGTACCAAAGATATTAAAATTAAAAAATACTTCTGATCAAAGTTTATATTTATATGGAGAAGATTAGCGCCCTTTTGAATGATAGATCTCAGGATATTACATTTAGTTATGTTTCCAAACTCGTAACCATACGGAGTAGATCATAATAGATCATGATAGGGGTCATTCATAGATCTCCAATGGTTTTCATGGTAATCATTACCAGAAAGGTGCCAAAATAAGACAAAGAATTTGTTAAATTTTGATGGACCGAGATGAAAGACGGACTAATAGGGAGACCCAAAAATCGAGGAACTACTTGGTGTACGGACTTGACTTGTTCCTCCGGCGGACGCCGCCCTGCATCCGCACTCCCACATTGGGCAGCTCCGTCTTGTTCCTCTTCGGAGAGCCCGTGGAGTTGCGCGAGGATCGGCGGGATCCCTTGGCCGAGGCAGTGTCGCTGGTCCGAGGGCCCGCCATCGCGCTCTTTGGAGTATTGGAGGGGCGCCGCAGTGAGCTGGCCGTGCTGCGGAGGACGGGTGTGCTGCTCTCCACCCGGTTGCCCGGATCCTCGGTCTCCGGCACGCGGCGGGTGCAGTACATCTGCATGGTGACGGTCTTCCGCAGCGGCTTCTTCTGTGCATCCGCGTTCTTGCCCTTGTCCTGTGCCCTGAGCCGGCGGCGCTGGTGGATCACCGCATTCTTGTCCGTGGCGGCCACCTTGTGGTAGAGGTTGCACAGCTCCAGGCACTGCCGGGCGCTGTGGAACCGCTTGACCCGTCCGTCCTGCTCCAGGATGCCGCACACCAGCTCCTCCAGCTGCACCTTCTCCAAAGCCGTCAGCAGTGCGTCGAGGTCCACGGGGCAGGCGGCCCGGGCGTTCAGTCGGTGCAGCATGGTTAGGAGCCGGGCTCGCTGCTCCGGAACTAGCACCGGCCCCAGGAAGATCAGGCGCAGCAGCTTGTAGGCATTGGTGCGGTCCAGCGGATCGATGGGCTGGCCGCAGCGGTCGTAGAGGCTGTCGTAGATCCTCAGGTCGTGCAGCTCCGTGTACGGCGCCTTCACGTTCTCCATCACCGACCAGACGCGGTCGCGCGGGAAGCGCGGCAGGGGCTTGCTCTCGTGGTAGGCCAGTTGGAAGAGCGTGGTCAGCACCTGGAACTGGCTGACCCGGAACAGGCAGCTGAGCGCCTCCAGGATGTGCCTGTTGCGCGTGCAGGAGTGCCGGCATCCCTGCTCCCCGTTGCTCTGGCTGCACAGCACGCACTTCCCGGCCGGACAGCAGCGGTGGACCGCCGCCGGACGCAGTGGCTCCAGCGGCAGGCGACAGGCGGGTCGGCAGCACATCGAAGGTTGGCAGGCCGCAGCCCCGCACATCGGTGCACAGCACATCTCCCACAGTCTCGCCTCGATTCCCGCTCCGGTAAAACTCCTAATTTAGCTAGCCTAGGTTCTCTGATCTCTTGATTTTTGATTTCCGGACTGAAAATAAAACCATGGCTGCCTGCAACATAGTCACATAGTACAATTAACATCAACTTTTTGCTTAATATTTAGCTATAAAATTAAACATAGTCAATACTATCGATGATCTTTATGTTTTTATAATTACCCTATTGTTTGGATAAATTTGTTTGTTTTGTAAATTGTAAATTGAAAACAGAAGTGTAAATAGAAAAAGCTATAATCGTTTTATTCGATTTTGGCAATCGAACAAAATCGGTTAATTGAAGTGTTGCCAATAAATTTAAGTAAGAAGAAGTTTAGAACTTGACCCACTTATAAACCATAGTAGGTTGCTAACCATCTGTCATTGCATTTGATCCCTATACCAATCATTATGTTAAATTATCGGAAAAAATCATTTAAAATCGTTTTTAACCATTGAGAAAAGCCCACACAGTGTAAATTTGAGATAAGCTAAAATTCCTATTCGACCAAAGGACAAAATTTTCGGCGTAAGTGCAATGTCCCAGGATATGTCCACATTTTTGGGCGGAACTCGACGTAGCCCACCGGACCGATCGAAGATGATCAAGGCCAAAAATGGAGCAGGGGTCACCGGATCGTCAGGCGCTGAAGGATCGGGAGGATCAGGAGGATCAGGTGGAGGTCGATCGCAGCAGGGGACAGGTGGTGCAAGAGGAACAGCAGCCACAGCCAGGCGCACTGGAAGGCCGCCAAGTGGAGCAAGTGCACCCAAGAGGATCACAAATAGGGCCGCGAATTGCAGCAGAAACTTGCCAGGGGTAACGGCGGAATTAAGCGGAGCCGTGTCCAAGAGAGCCACTGGTGGTGGTCCAACCAGGATAATCCAGACAACGGCCACATCCACGCTCCGTCGAAGGCAAGCACCGGCGGCTCCAGTGAGGGAACCCGCTCCCCGCCGGATAAACGAGGTGAAGTGGATCATGATGCCGTCGCAGAGCTTCGTGCAGTGCAGCGAGACCTCCTCCTCCGAGGACAACAGCCTGGAGCAGGCCAAGAGTCCTCGGGTGGAGGAGGAGGAGGCTCGGGATGTGGGCCTGGACAAGAGCAGCAGCAGTGGGCGCCTGCACCAGCTGGAGGAGCTGCACCCGATGACCCTGCCGGATGAGCCCGTTGGTCAGACCAGGACCAAGGTGCGATCCTCGCGCGCTTTTCGTGTTCCCAGCCAGCGGATCATGCACGAGGAGGAGCTGATGCGGGCCCAGCTGCTTCAGATGCTTCCACGGCGGACGAGGACCCATTCCAGCAGTCGTTACCCTGGCCGGGCTCCCAACTGGTCACCCCATCAACTGCCCAGTAGGCTTCCAAGTCCCTCTCCCAGTAGGCTTCCAAGTCCCTCCCCCAGTCGCTCTGAACACCCAATCGTCAGTCGTATGCCATCGGAGGAGGACCTCAAGGACGTGACCCTGTTATCGCAGCCAAGGCTAGCATCTGGCCTCATTTCCTGCGCTCCCAGTCCGACCGCAAGTCCAGGTCCCAGCCTCAGTCGCCTCCAGAGTCCCAGCACGAGTACCGACTGGAATCCAAGCTGCAGCACCATGGATCCCCATGCAAAAGGTCCCACTTCCAGCTCAAATTCGGACGCGAGTCCCAGCAGCAGCCAAAGTAGCTCATCCAGCACCAGTGAAAGCCAATGCCGGAGTAGGGACGGGAATATCCAGCGGTCCAGAGGTGGTGTGGGTAGCAAGGCCATCAAGCTGACCTCGACGGTGATCAAGATCATGCCAGCGGAGGTCAGGAAACCAATAGAAGTTCCCAAGGAGAAGGAGAAGGAGATGGAGCAGGGCAAGGGGTCGATGCCACTTCAAGCCAAGATGCCCCCAGTATTTCAGACTAAAGAACAGGCAGAAACTAGACAGGCCATGAATGCAAGCATGGTGCAATCGATTGCGCCACCCAAGTTCACTCCCATGGTTCAGGTGGTCAATCCGATCAGTCAGTCGGTGAATCATGTGGTCAACCAACTGACGGCCCAACTCAAAGAGGCCGCGATGATGCAGTCAAGGGATGGGGACAAGTCACCCGAAGGAGATGCGTATCAAGCGTGGACATCAAAGGGTCCGGCAAGAAAGCCCTCGATTTATCTGCTCTTGAATCAGCCAAAAGATCAGTCTGCGACTTCATCGAATGCACCATCCAAGGATGCCTGGGTTATCCAACCAATGGAGCAGCCAAAGGCAATGCCGGTTGCAAAAAAACCATCTCAGAGCTTGAAAATGCATCAGCCAAATGAGCAAACATGGAAACAGCAGACCAATCATTATCTGAACGATCCCAAAGAACATCCCGGCCACAATTTTAGTAAATACATGAATCCACCGAAGCATCGGTATATGAATACGCCAATGAATTTTGAAGGAAATCAATATCAAAACCAGTCCAGAGGTCATTCGTCGATGGTTCCATCCAGAATTCCCTCCAAACATCAGTTGGACTTTCAGTCAGGGATGTCAAGGAATCCATACATCCAAAAAACTTCGAAAATGTCATGCAGGTTTAAGCCCGAGACGCAACGAGCACATCCAGCTACAACGATCCAGCCTGTTTCCTTGAACAGGGTCACCCGGCCAGCCACCTCCTTGGGACGCCCTTATGTGGTTCCTCCACCGCCGACGCAGCTGCCGGATGCCCCAACTGGTGGCAAGATCGTCCGGAAGGACCAGCACAAGGTGCCGCGCACCATGGAAGATGGCATCGACATGAGCTACCAGTACTTCGTGTCCATTCCCCTCAAGCGCGGCAGGAAGCCACAGGTGGTCCGCTACCTGTACCGTCCGATGGTGCGCCAGATCAACCCACCCAGTTCGCCCAATCGCCGCTCCTCGAGGCGGGCGAAACGGAAGGGAGCAACTGGCGGAGATGGAGAGCAGGCACTGGCAGCAGAAAAGGATTCGCAGAAGATGGATCCGGCTCTGGAAGCTCTGGGCGGAATGCCCCTGCCGCTGGAGGATCCATCGAATGCCAGAAACACATCCCAGAAATCGGATAATCACTCTTTTCCAGATCCGGAGGCAGCTCCCTACGAGGTCCCACCGCTGAAGCTGGATGCCCGCTATAAGGCCATGATGGAGCAGTTAACCCAGATGCCGTATCCCGAGGATAAGCCTGGTCGTCGTCATCGTCGCCGGCGCTCCAATCGCCGAGCACGCGCCGCCGGTGGCGCTGAGCAGTTGGCTCCACCAGAGCAACACTTGGGCATTGGAGGCGGCGACGCCGTCAGGCATGAAATGCGCTCCCTAAAGCAGGTTTCATCCATCTGGAAGTCGGGTGCCCGCTTGCCCACGCTGGTCAACTATCGACCGGGTGTCAGTCGTCTAAGCACGACCACCGGATCTCCGATCTCGTTCCATTCGCCCGTGCAGTTTCGCCCGTTCGAGGAGGCCGGAGTGGAGGGCTTCGTGCTGCCCGGCGAACCCATGATCCGGGCCATCACATACGACGACATCGAGCAGCAGGAGCACCAACTGGAGAGGGAGGAGCCGCATCAACAGCACCAGATTGAGCAACTGCTGCTGGATCTTCATCCAGAGAAACGCAAGGGGGGCGCCACTGCGATGGTAAAATCAGTGAGCTTCCATCCCGGCGATGTGAAAGAAAGTGAAATCCGGACGGAGAGCAGCAGTTCCATCAGCATTAGCTTGACCTCAAGCAGCAGCTGCGGCAGGACCAAGACCAAAGGACGTCGGGCCACTCGGAAGAGCAAGGCCAAGTCCAAAGGAATAGCTAAGAATCGCAGGTGAGGTTCTCGGCAAGGGAACTGTGTGCCACCATAAGACTGGGCACCACCACCACAGAAATATTCATTGATTTACGTAGCCTCCTACTTTTTAAACTATTGAAAAAATTGAAAGTTAATTGTAGCAATCGTAGAGGTAATGTCTCTACAAAATGAAACAACATTGAAACTTTTATATTTAGTTATGTAATTCAAATTTTTTTTGTAAATTTAGAAAATATATTTCGAACGTATTGCAACTTATTCCTCAAGCTTCAAATACAAAAACTGAAAACTCGTTTGTTTGTTTATATTAAAGAACAGTTTTATATGTAAATACTATTCCAAAATTATAACTGTCAAAGCAGAATATTTATAAAATTTCAGTTATACTTTAATAAGCCATTAATTCGCGAGTGGACTGGTGGTTCAACTCAACTGCGGAGGCGATGACTTCACCTGGCGCACCTGCAAAGGTCAAGGGAGGTGGGCCAGGGTCAAGGTCCTGCTGGGGCGATTGCTCAATGTCAGGAAGTTGGTCATTAGCGAAGGAACTGGGGCAGAGACTAACGAGAAGCGATAGTCCTACCCCCAGTGATAATGCGACCTATAAAAATAGCTTTCAATTACGCGGAAGTGGTTCGGAAATTACATAATTGGTTGATGTTTTAATAATAGCAACTATTTTCTTTTTGCTTATGATTTTGAATAAGTTCTATACTATTTCTAGACTTTCAAAAATGGTTTGTGCTGAAAATAATTGGATTCCTTTCCATTTAATTAGTTAATTTCACACCTACAACCTATAGTTTTCAATAAATCTGAGCCTATGCTTGAGTAAACTTTCCTCTCTTATATTATTCTTCCACACACCCATGGGCTTGTGACCTATTTGCCTACGCAATCAATTAGTCAGACGTGATTCCGGCTAGTGCAAAGTGATCACTTAACCTGGACGCACCCCTCCCCAGAGCCCCACCCTGCTCCACCCCTGGCAGTCGCATTCCATCGGAAAGTCAGCCCAACAGAACCGAGCCAAAGTCCCCACATCGAATGCAGGCATTAGTTCCAATTTGAAGCGCCGCCGGTTCTACCTAATGTATGGCCCCAAAGGTGTCACATACAAAGTATTTACTATATGGGCATGGGCCTTGCCATATGTGTTTTTCTGGGCAATCGAATCGAATGTGATTTAGATATCGGTTACTGGGTCGTCGAACGTCGTCCGCAATCCAAAACAATGGAGCGTAGAGCCCAGCCAGCTAGAGGTAATACACATATAACGAGATAAAGCCCCAACTATGTCCAATTAAGATTTACGGTTGAAAGTCAAGGGCGCGAGGGAGGAAAAAGCTGCGGAAAATTTCTGAAAAGAGATTGACTCTCCCTCACTGTTGTACCGAGGAGCTCTGTCTCTCTTTCTGCGAGCACCTAAGCATCTAACAACATGCCGCTTATCAGCGTTAGATGCACTCGCTCACCCAAATCGATTCGTTTGCCCGATAGGAAGACAATACAGACGGACCCGGACATGGGGAAGGCGGCAAATAGGCGGGGACAGTCGCCAAAGCCCCGGCTGATTGCCTTATCGGCAACGTGGATGTGAAGTGCGTCCGTTGGACTTACAACGATCGGGGGAGACAAATGAACGCCGGGGAATTGGGTCGGCTGTCGGAGACTTCAATGATTAAATGAGTATGCCATGTCATTCAGATGCTAAGGGCCTCTTGATCTACGAGATTGGTTGAGAAAGTGGTTATTATTGCATGGTTAAAGCATGAAACTTGCAAAATTGTAGAATGATAATTTCACTAATCACTTCCTAACTAAAAAAATATATTACCTAACTTAACTTTGCATATTCATATATCAGCTAGATTTTAACAATTTAACATTATTTTGTAATTTTGTTTTCATTGAAAGTATCTTAGTTAATCAAAAGCAAGGTTCCCATACAAGAAATCCAAAAAAATTGTATGGGAATAAAGTAGAGTACTCATACACAAATGATTGTTCAATTAAATTTAAGGTAGATTTGTTACAAAGGCTGAATTAGTGGTGTTGTTCAAATCTTAATGTACCTAAATTTGAATTGCAATTTGAGTAATTTGACTCGGTAAGCTCAGTGTTTTCATATGTTCTCTCAGTTTAAAAACTACGTTTAGCCTATCATAGGGTTAAAATATAAAAGTGTAGTTTTGGGGCAGATGGAGGTGTAAATCAAAATATTAGTTAAAGCCAGAACAAACTTGAAAACCGTATATACCCCTTCCAAAGGGAACGAGAAAGAATGCATGTGATGTACGCTTATCCGAGTTTACGGCAGTGATAAAATAGATTGAGCCAATTGCCGCCCAGAGATCGGGTTGTATAACACCTGGGCACACATCGCTATAATATATGGTCCGACACTCTCTGTTTCATCATGACGAGTACAAATGTATGTAATTGCAGGGGGAGGCTCAGAGATGAGGGGTGGAACTCAATTTAAGCTCGCTAAACAATTCTACACACAGTTTAATTAGCACTTTGGACTGCGGGGGAAATAGTGGAAACTGTAGTTTAGAAACTACTAGTAAACAGGCGCTCACGTATTGTTTCGAAATTATGTGATTCTCGGAATTATTTGAATTCAGTTTCCACCGATTCGGCGTACCCCAATGTTTTAGAATCCATTCAAGCGTTGTTATGGTATTAAATTTCTAAGAAAATAAATATGTCAGCTGTGTTGCAAATATTTTTGTTAACCAATTAGCATGGATAATTGCAATAAAGAGACGACTTGATCTTGAAGGAAGTGTGCCATCTTAGGATGTTTATATTAGTCCGGTTAAATGGGATACCAATCGTATTTCGCACTTAAATTTCATTTCAAAACCGACTCGCCTTGAGCCAAACCCGTTCTATCCCGTTGCCCCAACGCCCCATCACCACGCCACCCCCTCTCCACGTCCCACGCCCGCCAAGAGACCTTGACCCGCATGTCGCTGTGCGAGATGATGATATAAATCAGCGCCGGCTAAGGAACGCCATTGCCGAATGTCGGGGACACCAGCCGACGTCCAGCTGGGACATATACTATACTATACTATACTATGTATATATGTCTGTATACAGACGACGATAGGGAAGGGTACTCGAGGAGTACTCAATCTTTGTAAGGCACAATAAACTCGCCAACAGATATGCCTAGATAACGCTAATGGTACTTACAAAATGAAAGCACCTTCCATTCAAAACTAATCTTATTCTGGTTGAACTTTAAGGAAATAATATCTATAATAGATACGTATTTTGAACGCATAGTTTGATTGAATGAATCATACATTCTCGAAGGCGGCAAATTTATTACGCGATAGGTTAAAAGGTAGTGAGAATACCAGATGCCTGAGGCAAAGATTTCCAAGCTCAAATAACTACGTAATCAATGACATTAGCAAACGTTCAGCTGGGTTTTATGGCTCAAAATCTAGCTGAATACAGAAAGTAATAGGAATTCTACTCAATCGGCAATTAAAACTAGCTAAGGCACACTTAATTCGACACCTAATACCAGTCTAACCGTAAATACATACAAGTGTAACAAAACATTGAAAGAGCTTCAAATTGATGCTAAAGAGGGGTTCCTAATTTTAGAACTATAATTCACAATTTGGTGAAATCAAATGAGTATGGTCAAAATGATTTTAGTACCTCTGCAAAAGTAAGTACCCGTATCATAGGTATAATATCTAATATCTGGTGAAACGAAACTGCTTTAGATGAATACGAGAGAAATAGTTAACCAATGCAAATACATATTTGTATAGAATTATATAAGTATTAAAAAGCACATTTCGGTTGAGTGAATCATTGAGTGCTGTTGATTTCGGGGAAGGGCGAAAGATAAGGAGTTTTGGGAGGGGGACCTGCGTAGTGCCACCCAGACGTGGCCCACCACTGCATAACGCAAGTGCAGTGGGTGCGTATGTGGGTGGCGCCGCGGGAAAATCAATAGATATACATCTGTGGGTCCATTCGAAAATGCACCCCCACTGCCAGCTGCCGCTACTCACTTGTTGGTGATCTCCAGGACGTCGGACATCATCAGGCGGTACTTGCGGCGGAACCTCTGGCCATGGCTCGTCTCCAGCAGGTATTTGTTGCAGAAGTCGGTCAGCGAGACGAAGTAGATGAATCCCAGCGAGGTGAGCACCAGTCCGCGCTGCAGCGAGATGCGGTCACTGCTGTTGGGGATTTGCCACAGGCTGCCGCAGGCCAATCCCATCGAGCCGATGGAGAAGGCCAGCGAGAAGTAGCAGCCGCGTCGCGACGGCGACTGCGGCGTCGTCTTCACCGAGTGTTCCTTGGACTCATCCTGGGGCTGCCGCTCCTCCTGGCAGGCTCCACTCGCCTGCTGGCGTCGCTGCTGCATCCTGGCGCCCACTCGAACGATATCCGGCTGCGATATGCGGCTCAAACGGCGGGACAAACGGCACAGATGGGGGGCGCAACCTGTTGCGGGAACCGGGAATGGGGGTCCGGATTCCGGGCGCTGCTGCTACCGCTTCTGACGGCGGGCGGGCTTCTCTCGGCGGCTGCTTACACGCTGCACTGCGTCTTGGACATGGCGGCTGGGCGAACGGGAGGAGCTGGAGAACCTGGCGGCGCGGTGCGAGGGCTCATTGGTCGTGCGGATTGTTTACAGTGTGCCCGTGCAGCGACCGCTCGAATATGCTGCTCGATAGCGCAGGCGAGGCATCGATGCTGCAATCGATGCTAGCGACTTGGCCATGGCTCGATACATCGATATATTGGTGCGAAATTATAGACCTGTCACACCACTGCGAGTTTGCTAACGATAACGATAGACACTTCATAAGTACAATCTTGCATACACACTATATCTTTAGATTTTGATGATTTTAATGCGGAAGCAACATATGGTTGAATATCAGAAAAGATTTTGAACAACCATTTACCCAAAAAATATTTACTTTTGCTAATCAAATTCCCTAATGCTTTTCAGTATCAATTATATTAATATTTTTGTATTTTCCGCAAACCACTTTTTGTTTTAGAACACCGGTTTTTTAAATTTATAGAGTTGAAAATATGTTTGTTCTGTTTGCATTATCTTTGAGATCTCGAGTATTACAAGATCTAGAGAGTTGGGACTTAAAATGCAACAGGAGAGACGAGGTTATCCTATAATATATAATAAATCAAAGAGGGGCATAAGCCATATTCTTTGTATAGCTTAGCGTTCAATTTTCGACCACCCAAAAACATAAAACTCTTGATTTTAGAACAATTTAAAAGGTATTCTTTATGTATTTTCGTTTTCAATTGGTGTTGCTGTTGTTGCTGTGGTTGGTTGCTTTTGATTGATTGATTGATAGTACTTTTACCATCTGTATCGTCCTAGACTCAAGACATTTATATATAGAGTGTAACTAACTGAACAACTGACGTAGATTAACCTGTTCAACTGTAACTGCCACTATCTTAGCCACTATCGGGTGTGTCCCAGAAATCTCTTCCAACCAATTTTCAACTGATGAACAGATCGCGGTGTCCCAGAAACCTATTAAGTTTTGAGTAAACGATTTAAAATCCACCATGATTAAACTTTGACAAAATTGGTCCTAAAGTTTGAGTAAATTTACTCCGAAACACAATCTAAAACCTAAAAACATTATGGGACACCCAAACCCTCCGAAAATCAATGGAGATTTTAGGAACACCCCGTAAAAAATATTGCATGTACATCTAGAGCGTAAAAGTTAATGGGAGGTTAACATAACCCCGATTAAACACTAACGTTACATTTACAAGGGAAACTAAGCCTACATTAGATACAATTATATTTATATGTATATATAGATCGCTTGCCTGCCACAAGAGTGTTGAAGTTTTCAATTTACAACCAGATTTTTTGCAGAAGAATCTCCGAAATCTCTTTTTTAAGCGAATTCCAACCGAAATTACTTTGAACATTATGCAGAGATTTTTTGAAAACAAGCGAAAAACAAATGTACTTTGAAGATTTAGAGATTTTTGAGGATTTTCCTTGCGGCTTCCAGCTAAATTATACAATTGTTAAGGTATTTTACAAAACAAAAAGTTAGAAAAGTATTCGTCGTGTGGCAAGCAGGCGAGTTTTGTGGGTTTGTAAAGTAATCCATAAGCTAAGGTCGAAATTGCCGGTCAGGGTTTATGAGGGTTGCAGTCTAGAATCTAGTCCTAGTAGCTGCCTCAGATTGCAGTGAGCTAAACAAGTGATGGGGGATATATGGAGGATCTTAAGGCTGCGGCTGCACGATCTACAACCTAGAAGCGCTGCGGCAGTATCTCGGTTTTGATGCCCCTCAGCGCATGCTTTTTCTTGCGGTGCGTTGACAGGTTGCATGACTGCTTGAAGGATGCGCTGCACAGTTCGCAGTTGAAACGCCGCTCTTTGCTGTGCACTACCCGGTGCAACTCCATTCTGGACTTGTACTTGAACTTCAGGCCGCAAGTCTCGTAGTCGCAGATATACCAGCGTTCTCCGTCATCCGAGGACACAGCGCTCCCGGCGCTGGCCGTCGTGCTGTTGGAGTCCTTGGGCAGCTGTTCGTGGCTGGCGGCCAGCATGGCGGCGGCCATTGTTGTCGATGGCACAACTGTCATGTTGAGTTGGTGCTGCTGCTGCTGTTGCTGTTGTTGCTGGTGGAGCATATTGGGCGGCGTGGTGCTGACCGTATTGGAGGTGGTGGTGCTGGCGCTGACACTAACAAATCCTGGCGTGGGCGGCGGAGGCGGCACAGGCGTCGGCACCAGCTGCGGCAGATGGTAAATGGTCCCAGCAGCCGCAGCAGCCGCCTGCATTTCGGGCGTTAGTGTGATACTGCTCGGCTCTATCTTGATGTCGATGCCGCTGTTGCTCCTTGTGGTCGCCTCGGCAGTGGAAACCACGGCTGCTGCAGCTGCGGCCGCGGCCACGGCATTGGCATGCAGTTCAGCCAGCTCCTTGGCCACATCTCGCTGTTGGTGGAGCTGCTGATGGGCCTGCTGTTGCTGTTGGGCCTGGTGTTGTTGGTGGGCTTGCTGCTGCTGAGCCTGCTGTTGGGCCTGCTGTTGGGCCTGCTGTTGCTGCTGCTGTTGCACCTGCTGCTGCACCTGCTGCTGCACTTGGACCTGCTGTTCGTGCAGTTCCACCTCGCGCTGCTCCTCCTCGGAGTACTTGGCGGAGCAGTGGTATAGGGCCAATGGCACGCTGACCGCCGTGGCGCCCTGCTGAGAGCTACCACCTGGCGTGGCCGCTGCTGCCGCCGCCGCCGCAGCCTCCACATCTGTGAGGCAGTAGCTGGAGGTCCGGCTATGCTCCTGCTGCAAAGGGAGTAAGTATAACAGGCACGCCGGCGAGAAAGTCACACACAACCCACCTTGAGCACGCCGTGCAGGAAGTTGTGCTCGTCCTGTATGTGTTTCCAGAACTGATCCTGCGTCTGCAGTTCCTCCTGGCACGTGTGGCAAACGATCCAGAAGCTGTCCCCCGACAGACAGAACTCGCCCAGCTTCGTGTAGATCTTGTTGTTCTTGCTGAGGATGCGCGGAAAACCCATGGCGTCGTTTCGATTCGCTCGCTCCCTGTGCTTGTGTTTGTTTATGTTTATGCTTTTTGTAATTTTTTTGTTTGTTATTGTTTTGCGTTTTATGCAGTGTGACCGCAGAAAAGTCCGAAAAATATACCAAAAATATACTATTTATGACATATTCAATTTTCAAATATTTCACAAATATTTAATTAAAAACGGTTAGGCTTTTGAATGTGTTAAGATCAATGCTAATAAGAAAACAAGGTGCTTTTAATTTATTTATTGCAAAGTATTGTGTTAAGGTGGGAGAAAAATGCAGGTATGGTCGCATTTTCTTCGCGGGAGTTAATTTCCCGTTAATTTGGGGTATGTGGATAACAGTTCCTCCAAAATACTGGGAAAATCCCCTTATTAGAAACTGAAAAAACTGCTAAACAAAAGTTAGTCCACCATCTTAAATTAACGTTTCTAACATTTCGTTTCAATGCAGCCCAAAATACTTGTGATTCATAACAGATCATAATGGATTATCAGTTTTTCTCGAACAAAAAATGAATAAAGGAAAAAAAAAGTCCGGAGAGTTTAACGTGATTTTGGAAACAAAGTTTTATTGACAATATTGGTAACAATTCCTACGAAGTATCATATTTTTAAATTTTTCTTTTGGTAATGTGAAGGTTTCAACGTGATTTTAGAAACAGTTCCTTTGACAATATTGCTTAATGTCAGGTTTTCACACACCGATTTTTCGCGTCAATACAAATCTCACTTAAAATAAAATTATTTCACACTCTCCCCAATTGATCTTGTGATGTTGCCAAATAAACGCTAATAAATCCATTATTACACCTTTCCGTTTTTCTTACTATTTTATTTGCTTTTTAAGAGCGGATACATATAATAATATTAAATGTCTAGTTTATGTTTGTTACTAAGCTAAAAATCTATGTTTAAAATGAAAATGTTCTTTGAATTCAAATTCAATGTTATATCATTTTTATTCGTAAAAATAAATTTATCATTTTTTTAATTACATTTTTTTCTTGCACGCCCAAATGATTGATTAAGTTGTCCAATCTAATGGAATTGTGCGTAAGCAAAAAAAAGGTTGCCCCCATTTTTCAAAATCACAACTTAATGTGTGCGAAGTACCTGATTTCTTTACAAATTCGATTTAACGTGAACAAATCAAGCGGAATATGTGAGTTTTTTTGTTATTGTAGGAGTAAAAAAACTCTGCAATATAATCATGGGCGTAGGAGAAGAAAAAAAATATATGTACTCCAATTATTTTTTAGGTATTGCTTTATAACTTGTATGTGTATCAAGTTTTATGAAATATAATATCTTTATAAGATGAACAAATAAAATTGTTTAGCGTATGTGCACTTAAGTCTATATTACCTAATGAGTAAAAATTTAATACATTTTATTGTCCTCTTTTGGCCACGCCTATGTGCACCTGTTACGTACACACACACACCCCAAAGCAGAGCCCATTCATTTGAAGAGGAGAAAAGAAGCCGAAGGAGTAACAGAGATAGTTGTAGAGACAACGACAGTTAGAAACATGGGCGTAGCCACAATTATTTATTGGCAATTTATAGATTGATTTTTCGGGGTAAACAAATTTAAAGACACCCTATAAAGTGTGAAAAGTTATTTAAATAATTTGTTGTTAAACGTTGGGGGTGAACTGGCCCCCTGCAGCCCCACTCGCCTCGCCCCACGCCCATGAATAATACAAATCAGAGATGGACGTGGGCTAACGAAGAATGGCCCGAACGAGATGCCAATGTAGGTTTGTATGTATAGAAATGTGTGACTGTTGTTTTTATGAGCCAGGTTCGAGCCAGTTTGTTGCCCCTGCTCTTGCCGTTGCTTCTTCGCCTTCTTCTTTGGCCTTTTTGTTGGCATTTTATTTCATTTCCATTTTCACAACCTGAACCCCCGACGTCGAATCAAGTCGATTGTCGATTCAACTTCTATTCAACGCAACACAACGCAACGCAAAGAGGCCGCGCAGCCGCAGTCGCCGCTTCAGTCGCTCGGGGATTACACCTTGCGCTGCGTCTGCGTTTGCGCTTGCGCACTCTACCGATATTACGGCCACTGTGGTTTGTTATTGTTGTCCGCCTCTCGTTTTCGGGCGGCTTAAAAAGTGAAACCACCCACGGAGGTGACCACGCCTGGTGACCCACAGGTAAGATGCCGAATGAGGCGGTATAAAGAACCAACTACTTGCCACTGAGTCATTAACTAACCTTTAAGAGGAATCTGTGAATCCAACCTACATATGTTCATAAGTATGTATATAATACACACAGCAGTGTTCAAACGTATAGCACCAACTTGTGGAAAATAGCTTAAAAACATAAATACAAAATAACAAAACCGGACACTTGTGAAATCCATTATATTCCGTTATACAAATATTATTATCTTTGTGAAAATATTAAAAATTGAATTGAAATTGAATCTCTGAATATATGTATGAATTATGTATAATCGTTTCAAAGTAACCATATCCGAAAAGGTTTGACCAGTTTGTTCTTACTGCCTCAAAAAAACGTTATTTTTTTTTATTAAATTTAATTAGATTCATTTTAAGCCATTGAAATCTGAACATTTTTATAAGCTTTGGTGGTAATGCCATGTTTTAAATTTCTGTTTAAAAAAAACCCATTTAAAGTTATAAGCACATACAAATTACCGATTTTTCTCGATCTCAAAAGTAAATATCTAAAACTTTATTAGGTATTGAAATACTCTATCTCCCACAGTGGGTGCTTAGTGGGAAAGCCTTCTCAAACAGCGTATTTTCCAGACAGGTATAAATGGTTAATAGAATATTGGTATCGTGCCGGCATTGATCATTAATAACTCCTTCCGTTTTCCTTTTTTTTAGAATACTCCAACGAGGAGTTCAGAGTCGACGAGATGCGTCAGCTGTGCGGCAGCGTTTACACCTGGAATTGTGCCGGCGAGCTTTATGCCATCGAGTGTTCCCTGTGCGAGGAGCGGCCCCTGTGCGCCCTCTCCGAATTCCCGGAGCACATGGACGTGTGGCACTCCGATTGGCAGGCACCCGAAGCGGATCCCGATGAAGCCACCTCGTCTGGAGCGATTCCCGAGGATGAGCTCATGCAAGAGGTGCTGGCGGAGCAGCGAACCAATGGCGAGGATAATGAACTCAAGCAGCAACTGGTGCTGCAATTGAATGCCATCGAGGAGGAGGTGCTGCCAGGTGAACAAGTGGAACCCTTGGCAGAAGTGGATGATGGCAAAGATCTTCTAAAAACCTCACGAAGTTTAGTTGAGTTTGGACAGACACTGGATGAACGTCCAGAAACTAGAGAAGAACCTGCAGAGCCCCTACCAGTTCCAGATTCTACCGTACAGGTAAGTCCGTTCATCATCTCTGATGAAGATGTCTTCTTAATGTTTGGAATCCGGAAGTTGTCTAAATTCAATTTACTGAAAGGCATTTTCCATGTTCCTTGTCCGCTCGGCATTAAAAAACTGTTTAAGTGGCGATTTTGTGAGCAAAATCACTTAAAGATTTCTGTCACAAAAAACAAGAATTTTAAATAAAATAAGGAAATAAAAGGAAAGGGAAAAAGAGCATATTCGGAAAATGGTCTTAGCTTTTCGACAATAATTGCGGACTTTTATAGGCTGCTACTTGATAGTGAACCGTGGGGCAGAGCACTCCTGATCTGAACCACAATATATTGCTATCCCATCCTAACTTAGTTCCCAATCCCCTTCCCCAGGAGGTATCGCCTGTTCCGGAGGGCCAGCGACTCACCACCCAGCATATGCATCGCCTGATCGACCTGTACCGCTTGGAGCCTCGTCTCTGGAACCAGACGCATGAGCAGTTCCACGACATGGAGCTGTGCCGCGACTCCTGGCGTCGGATCACGGATGCCTGGGGTGCCTACTGCGGCCGGACCTTCAGCGTGACAGACGTGCGGATCCGGGTGTCTACGCTGTGCCAGCGGTTCCTCAAGCAACGGGAGCGTCTGGAGGCGGATGGCGAATTGGATGACGTCGCCAAGTTCGTGCACTTTGACCAATTGAGCTTCCTGTGCGAGCAGCAATCGCTGCTGAAACGGCAACGTCACTACGCCCGCGAGAATGGCCGACTCCTGGAGCTGTACGAGCATTATCCGGTCCTCTGGCACAATGCCCACAAGCGTGTACGATGCGCGGAGACCGTGCGCCGGCGGCAGGATGCCCTGCTGGGCCTCCAGTTGGCACTGAGGCTCTCGGGGATTAGCCTGTCGCCCGTGGTCATCCAGCGGCGGTTGCAATCGCTGCGCAAGCGCTATCGCCTAGAGAAGATCAGCTATCTGCAAAGTGTGGTGGAGGGCAGACAGGCCGAGTTCGTATCCGGATTCGAGCACTACGCGGAAATGGAGTTCCTGCACAAGCACATCGACCCGTATGTGTGTGCCGTGTGCGGAAAGATCTTTGAGAACCTTGTGGGTCACCAAACCCATGTCCAGAGCGGTTGTGAGGTGAGAAAAATGGACAAGGATCAGGGGGTTGTTCATGGGATGGATAAAGGATCGGATCAGGGAGTGGATCAGGAGCTGGAAAAACAGCTAATGGCGGTGTTGAATGAGGAAAAGGAGCTGGTTGAAAAGGAAACTCAACAAGCAGTTGAACTTTTGAAGGAGAAGCTTGCGATACCCGTCAATCCTGTCACTCAGTTAGAGCAGGTTCTGCCAGCGAATGGAGAAATCCCCAAAGATTCGCAGGATCCCGATCCCCTTCTGCCCACCCTGGCTGAGGCCAGTGCCGCTGCTCAGCTGGAAGATCCCGGCGAACTGGATGCCACCTTAGATCCCGTCGAGGAGAACCACACGGAGCAGAGATCACGCCCTCGTTTGGGTCTGTCAGAAACGCAAGACCTTATCCGCCTGTACCGATCCCATGTGTGCCTGTGGGATCCCAATCACCTGGACTACCATGCCCGCAGACAACGCCGATCGGCCTGGCAAGCCATCACGGAGGAGCTGAACTCTAAGACGGGCCTGCGACTCTCCTGGCAGATGTTGCACCGCAAGATCACGGACTTTAGCAAGTACTACCGCAAGGAGCGGCAAAGGCAGATCATGGAGGAGGACACTTGCTCGCAGTGGAACCTATTCGAGGAGTTTCGCTTCCTGGACGACGTACTTTCCATCAACACCGAGATGCAGAAGACCCTTAACCAGCGGGACAGCAATCTCAAGATCATAGCCGTATACCAGGGCTATGCGCAGCTCTGGTGCACCGATCATCCGGATTACACGAAGCGGAGGCAGCGACAGCGGCAACTGGAGTCCCTGTGCACCCGGCTGCAGGAGGAGTGCAACCTGCAGATGACGGTGGAGCGGCTGAAGAGTCGCCTGATCGAGTTCCGTTGCCAGTATCGCCACTGCAAGGAGGCTCGGATGGAGGCGCTGAAGAAATCGGAGACGTGGACCCCCAACTACGAGTACTACGAACCGCTGCGCTTCCTCGAGCTCCACGTGGCGCCCTTCCAGTGTCCCCGGTGTCCGGCGTCCTTCAAGCGACGCACGGATTACCTGCAACACGAGCGGAATGTCCATGCCGAGGTGGAAAAGTCCCTGGACGGGGAGTACTACTATGTGAGGCGGCGCAAGAGCAGGAAAGCCAAGGAGGAGACAGATGAGCAGCAGAATGAGGAACTGGCAAACATTTGTCACATCTGTGGACTGAAGTTCTCCCTGCGGAACAGTCTTCTGGCCCATCTGCGTCGTCACCTGGGCCAGAGAACCCACGCCTGCACCGAGTGTCCCAAGAAGTTCTTCAGCTCGACGGCCTTGCGTGGTCCACCAGAGGAGTCACACCAAGGAGCTGCCCTACGTCTGCGAGCACTGTGCCCGGGGATTCGTGAATGCCAGCAAGCTGAACCAGCATGTCAAGCGGCACAAGAACCAGCGGGACTTCCCCTGCAACAGATGCGAAAAGGCCTTCTATACGGCCCACGAGAGGGATCGGCATATGCGCGCCCATCTGAACATCCGGGACAAGGTGTGTCCCTACTGCTCCCGGGCCTTCGTGGTGGGCAGTGCCTACTACGCCCATCTCAATCTCCATCGCAGCGAGAAACGCTACGCATGCGCGTCCTGTGGCAAGAGGTTCGCCCAATATGCCGGACTCTACAAGCACCGCAGGCGATGTCTGCCGGTTGAAGTAATGGAGGAGTGATCCTTGAGCCTGGCCCCTTCTTCGTGGATGACTCTTTAACCGCGTAAAAAAAGGGGGTACAAGAAGCACTTTTCTATTAATTAGTAGAGGCTGAAATAATTATTGCCTATTCAGATATAATATAAAAATATTACTAAGTTGTTTTAAAATACATATTTTGAATAGTTATTTCGAATACTCATTGATATTTATAAATACTTATCTGTATCCTATCTTTTAAAATTGTTTAATACTTTTCAATATTATAGATAGAGAATCTACGATGACTGCAATATAAAACACATACGTCCTGATATTTTAAAATTATTTGTACGAAATTAGTAATTTTAAATTACCTTAATTTCTGACTTTAATAATTTGGTCTTTATTTATTATGCTTTATTTTACTAAGTTGTAGATAAAATTTCAAAATTTCGTATTGTAATTTGTGTTTCTATACCCTTGCGGGTAATATTATTTCAGAAAGAAGTTTTAACGAAGTAATGGAGACATTTCCGACAATATAAACTAAATATATATATTCTTGACCAGCATCAACTGTCGAAAGTCTGTCCCTCCATTTTTAGTCTCACAGCTTTAAAGCTTTCTGGATGTAAAATTACCAAAAGTCTTTTTCTATTGTATGTGGTATAAGTACTATCCGTATGGGGCGACTGTATCGTATAGCAATCTTATAATTGTTTATAAAATTATTACGACTATCAACATAACTTCGCTGTTTCCCAATTATAATTCGGAATAATATAGATTTTAACGTTTTAAAAAAATCATTAAAAATTTTAACAAAATCTATCGACCATATTATAAAGCTGTTTCTATGGCATCAAAAATGTATAATTGTCCTTGGACACGTACATATGTACGTATAGATATATAGTTATTTAATATTTTAAATAACTGCAAGGGTAAACAAACTACGGCTTACCGATGTTAGCTTCCTTTCTTGTTAATTTTATGAATATGTATATATCAAAATTGGTAAAAGTTTTACCTATTTATTTATAAAGATTATGAATTCCTGATCTTGAAATGAACAAAAATGCAATATTATTAAAATAGTTTAGTCAAAATATATTAAACAAATAATAAAAAATGTAATACATATTTTGTTGTCAGAAATAATTTGTGTTATCGCCCCTGGTAGTCCTTAACCTCCATACCTTTCCATAATGACAATTCATCAACAATGTAGCCACACATTCCCACGCATCCTCCAGTTTTATAGAAACCTAATCCATCTTGTTTCTTTTTCGTGTATTTGTGTAAATGCATTAATTAAAAAATAAGTGGAAATCTGGGTGGACAGAGGACAGTGGACCTTAATTGGACTTGGCGAAGCGCTTTAGCTGCCGCAGCCGATAAATATCGTGGGTGGGCGGCACAGCGGTCTGAAGATCGTCGTCACTGTCGTCGCCACCGGGCAGTAAACGTCTCCGGCGCGGTGGAATGGCCGTAACACTATGCTGCACACCCGTATACGTACTTGTGTCCACGATCCAGTGCACAGACTTGGCCAAATCAAAGATCTTCGGTGACAACTCGTTGTCTCCGTTCGGTTGCGGTGCAGCTGGAGGTGGAGAATATAGAAGTGAGTACAAACAAAACGGTTACAAAGCAAAAACTCACAGTCGGGCAGATTGAGGCGCATGAAGATGTCGAAGAGCAGCTCCACGCTGACGAAGGGTCCGCGGAAGGAGTTCGGTGGAGGCAGGGTGGCGCACAAAGCGGCCAGAGCTGGCGGTTGCGGAAAGACACCGCCGGCGAGTGGATGGGCACCGGGATGAGCACATGGGCGCGGCTTGAACGGAATCATCTGCGAGAAGTCCGGACGCGGCAGGGGTTGCGTCGCCTCGCTATCCGCCTCTGCCTCTCCGTTGTTTTGGCTTTGAACTCCACCACCTACCTTGTTTAGGATGATGCCCACATTCTGAAAGGAAATTATAGAGCATTTAGATAGGACATCACATATAAAAAGGCACCTTTGAAAGACGCATGCACACTGATTCAAAATAAAAAACCACCCTACGTCTGGTTTTCTGCAGCGTAGTAAAGAACACATTTCCGACGCTGTAAGTATGCATATACATTCTGATAAGTATAACCTAACGAATCCATATAGGTTTGTCTATTGAGTTGAGATAAAAAAACAGGCTTAGGGGAACATGATAAATTTTTTTAAAAGAAAGAAATCTTTTTAAACTAAATTTGATTAATTTTTGTTAACTTGTCACCAATTGATATGTATTTAATTTAGCTGTGGCTTAAAAAACCATAAAACTTAACTTAAAGAGGCGAATAAAAAAAAAGAACAGAAACAAGAAGCTAATGACGCCAATGTCTATAGGCAAATTACTTATAGAAAAGCATAATGTATCATAACTAAATTCAATTAAAGTACATATTTGATCTCTAGATAATTACTGTCTTTTTGACAGCATTTCGAATTTGTTTAAAATTATTATTAAACTAGCTCATTCTCGCTCACATTCACAATTTAGAAGATTCTTGCTCTTTCTTTTTCGAGATAGGAGAGAGTTTTTAATGTAACTGTGAAGAGTGTTATTATTTGATAAGATACGAATAAAGTAATTTAATATTGTTTATAACTGTGAATAATATTTGAAAATAATTTTTTTTTTCTGTGTATGTAAAAATATTTTGTTGCAGAAAATATCAAAAAGTTCAGTTTCTCGTCAAATAACTTGTCATTTTGTTCTTTAAGAAAGTTGTGTCTCAACATTCTTTGGTGTTTGTTCAATAAAACGAATAGTATTTTAAAATATACAGGACAACGCACCTCGGCATATCCTATTGACTTGAGCTCGGTGCTGGTGCAGGGGTAGAGGTCCAGAAACTTGTAGCGGTCCACCAACTGGGCAGTCTCCTTGCCCTCGTACTCTTTGAGCTTTAGTAAAAAGTGATTTCACATAAGTAAACAATTTCTTTAAAGCCCTGATAGGATAATTTAAGTACACACGTTCTCGAAGATGGCACTGCGGCGACGTTCCACCTTGACGATGCTGGACAGATCTCCAATGTTGGACTCGAACTCGAGGAAGCGATTCCAAACCTCAACGCTCTTATGCGGCGACAGACCGCCGGAGCTAAGAACGCGCTCGAACAGGACGCGCGTGTTGTTATCCTCGTTCAAATGCGACAGGTAGTCAATGTAGCACATCACGTACTCTGGACTGCCGCCAAATCGCTTCAGACCCAGTTCGAAGATGCGGAACGCGATTTCCTTGTCCTTGGAGCAATAATACTCCATCAGCGCAGCGGCAACGAAGATGTGGTAACGCGAGCGAACGTCCTCGCGTGCCTTCTTAAAGATGCCACGAGCTGACTTGATGCCCTCAGCACGGCGGGCGAACTTCATGTACTGAACATAGACCTGTAGTATTTCAAGTTAATATTTAACGATGCTTGTTCATTTAGTTTTGATATCAGTGTGTTCCTACCAATGTGGGATCAATGTCCGGCAACTGTAGCAGCTTGTTATACATGGAGTGCACCTTCTCGTACTTCAATCGTCCCTCCTCGAAGTCCGCATAAGCGAAATACAGCAACGCATTCCGGTTCAGCACGCCGTTGATGGAGCGTTCCAATATATTGGCACACTCATCCGCAAAGATCTTTGCCGCCTGGACGTCCTGCAATGTATGGATAAGCAATTAGCAGGGGAATACACAAAAATCGACTTAGTTAAAGAGAGTAAAACACGTGCGGCCTGGCCAAGGGCAATGGAGCAAGCGGCGCTGCAACAGGTCACCGCGTGCTCCTTTACCCGAGGGGCGGCACTTCTCAGCGAACAAGAGACTATGTTTGATTTCGTTTTTGATCTTGACTTTCGCCCACCACCGGGCAATGGCCAAAATCCAGTCTATTTGCTTGACTACATGAGCGCAGAGAACGAAGGAGGTGGTTGCAACACTGGTACGCACGCCTTTCTCGGTGAGCACGCGTGCACTGGTGTCCAGGAATTGGGAGGCCTGGTGCCACACGGCCGGATGGTGGGTGAGCACCAGCAGGCACTGCTCCGTGGCGAACATGACGCGACGAGTGACCAGGGCCGTGTCTTCGGTGCGCAGCGGATTGGACTTCTCGTACGTGATGAAGCGCTTCCACAGCTCCACCTGCTTCACCTCCTCCTTGGTGAGTGTGGGCGGAACAGCGGGCAGATTGCGATTGAGGCCCTTTGTGTGGTATTCCAGCTCCTTAGCCACGCGGCGGGCGTTCATGTAGTCCCTGGTAAAAAGTGGGTCTTTAGACAGATACTTCTACTAGAGCTGTATAGAAAACTTACTTAGATCGCTCCAAGCTCATCTTCTCAGATATGATCGGGTTGATATTTTGCTCAAATGCGATGTAGTCCTTCCACAACTGCTCAATGCCTACGATGGGTGTAACCACCGCCTTTTGGTAGACGCGGCGCACGGCGGTAATCTTCTGGTTCTCAGCATAATTGCCAACAGCTTCAACGCCGCGCAGAAAGTAAATATAATCCTGCCAGATGCTGAACGAGTGCAGATCCATGCCGATCTTCTCCAGGGCGAAATCATAAGCCTGAGCCATTTTTTCTCTGAAAAGGGAGATTGGTTTAACATCTTACAAAAACAAACATAAATCGAAGGAAGGAAAAATTGGTTTTCGGATGATAATTTCGATTTGTTATGTTGCCCTGATTTTTTGCAAATAAGCAATATTATTGAATTTCTGATCCTGATCCTGTCCTTATCTTTTTTACAGTATAGTAAGAGGCATTTTAAATTGAACTCAATTCTGTGATATCTATGTGTCCAATCTGTGGGATTTTCAATCTTGATCTGCGTACACACTGAATAAATTAATAAACGGAAACCTCATACACTTATACTTAACGAAACTAATTTAAAACCCAATTGACTGAAAAACGCGATTTCTAGTAGTTCAGCTACTCACTTGTGTGTGCTAAGACCCGACTTGGTTTCCTTGACGTAGGTGAGGTAGAGCTTCCAGAGGTCGATGTTCAGGATCTTGACCAGGCACCGCTGGAAGAGTTTCTCCACGCGCTCGTAGTACCGGCTGCGCATCTCCATTTCGATGTAGAGCTTCCAGTAGCGGGCGGTGGTGGGGAACACGTTAACCAGCGATTCGTACAGGCTGCGCACCTCGTGGATCGGACGCGTTTGGGCCTCGCGGATCATAACGCTCCAAGATTCGATGTCATAGGGACGCAGCTCCACCACTTGTTGGGCCCGCACTAACCGCTCCATGCCCCATTCCTGGTGGTGATTAGGTACGTGTTAGTATTGCCCATTTAACGATATAGTCCCACTTACTATGTCGATTTTAATTAGGTCCCTGGCCGACGACATTGTTGTTGCTTCCGGTCTGCACTGTTGTTGTTGTTTTCTCCCGACGTTTTGCCGGCGTTTTTTGCCGCCCTTCCTGCTGTCCTGGTCGCTCCTTCTTTGGCCTGGACCGATTCTTATCTGTCGGCGGACTAATCGCTGGCAATAATCGCTGGGAAATCACTCGGGGCCACGCTTAAAAACAGCTCAATTGATAAATTATTATTTCTCAATGGAGCTTCGATACCGACAACGATTATCCGGCTGAAAACTGGCATCGATGGTGCTATCGATAGTATCGCCGGTTGTGTTACGGCATGCCATTTTGATGATATGGAAGAATGTACCCTTTTCTATTATTCCCATTAAGTTACAATTTCGAATTATATAATCAAAATTGTATTTTATTTTTTCTTTCAAATGAAACGTAATAATTTTTGTTTTTTCTGTGGGAATATCCCAAACATTTGAGCGATAGTAAAATTGTAGACAATCGATAAGGACACTTTTCAGCTTAACTGAAAACTACGATAGTTTAACTGATAACAGGAACCCGGGATGTCTTAAGCATTCAAATAACAAAATATAATGATAAATTCGAATACCGCATTCAAATATGTGGGCGTATGCTATGCAAAAATATTATTTAACATAATTTGCGTTAAATTATTAATATTTATATATAAACAATGCGATACCGAATATTTGGCTACAAAGTCTGCAAGTAGAATTTCTATGGAAGAGGTAGCAAACAAATGACTAAAAGTGCATCACAATAAAATATGTGAGGGAATACCCCGAATAACTTGAATGGTATTAATCAGTGTAAGTTGTGATGGATGCATTATTTATCGGTATATTTCAGTGTCGTCCTACGGCCACACTGGCTGTGAGTCGAAAAAAAGAAGAAAAAAACGTTACAATCAAACGAAACGAAACGCATTTACCAGCCGTAAGATAGTTCGGGAAAAATTCGCAAAAAAAGACTAAAACGAGAGTGTTTAATCAGCAATAAAATAAATTGCCAAAAATAAAGTGAGAGTAAAAGGAACAAGTGCAAGCGGAGTTGCTCGGCCACGCACACAAGCGTATTGAATTCCAGGAGAGCGACACGCACACACAGGTGCAGAGGCAGGAGCGACGACCAGCTGTTGTTGGATGGCATAGCGGTACATTTGGGGTAAGTAATCGCAATCAATACGCTCTATTTTGCTTGTTTCTCTTTCTTTGGCTTTCTGTTGAATCAATTATTCAATGGCAAAACTGTAGGTCCTTCCTAATCCTGTTGCCGCTTGGCTCTCTCCCTCTCTCTATGCTTCTTCTTGTTGATCCGCTGACGGTTTATTGACCGACAAGACAAGTGAAAAAGAAAAGCGTACGTGCGGTGAGCCACTCTCCCTTTCCCACTAACCTTGCGCGTGTGTGTTTGTGTGTGATAAGGCGCAATAAGTGTGTCACACAGACGCGCTTTTGTGTTTCAAAGTGGAGCACACATTGTATGTGTGTGTATCCCTTTCACACGAACACTCACTAATGCTAATGCATTGCCTGGCTTCTAATTGTGCATGGTTTAAAACTCATATTTAAGTGACATTTTACCTTTATTTTACCTTCTTTCTCCTGCCCCAGTGGTATTGCCTACTGTCGAGCGCTGCACACTCACTTTCGCCGCCCTTTTCTTTTGCTTTTCTGCTGGCGCCTCTTTCGCCGCAAATAAACACGCGCTAATTATTCGTATCGTCAACTTTTCCTCACACAAACACACGTGCAAAAGCGCAGGAGATTAGTGTGAGACTGTCGCAGGAAAAAACTGGGTAACTTAGCCCATTACTGCCCACATATTTTTTTGGGGTCCGCGGAAAGGTTTAAAAATCCCTGATAATATAATAATAATATTAAAATGTAATATTAATCTCTAAAATAGGTTCGATTAGCTTTGGTTTTGTAATTTTTACTAAACCCTGCATGCCATTAAATCTGTCTATACATATTATATATGTCTATATATTATTCATACGAATTAAAAGTCAAGTCAGCTAATATTAGGAAGAAAATAAAACAGCTAATGTAGCTCATCCATCTAGTGCCTCAAATATGTACTTACATATGTACATACTTTACCTCTAGGCTTACAATCAAAGTAGACAGATGATTTTGTTTAATTTGGTTACTAAAAAATAACTTAATATATTTAGAAATAAAATATTATATTTAATGAATTTCTATATATATTTAGTTATTTTTTAGTGAGTTAATGTTTGGAAATCAAACTATGGTTTTTCAAAAGATATTGTATACTGTAGATTCGCGGATAGGGGCTCGTGTTATATGTATATGGGACACTTTCTTCTTAGCAAATCTCCAAGGAAAAAGTTGTATCTTCTAGTGCTAAAGAAATCGAGACTTTGGCTTATGCGAACTCTATTGTAATCGGTAGCATCCTTTTCGCTATTTTCCTGTGAAATTGCTGTTTGAAGTATGTTTGTAGTGTTTTATTTCGGTTTCCATAAGTTTCGATCAAACTTCTCACGTACAAAACCGAAAGTGTATCTCTATGTAAATTGGTAAAAATCTTTTTAAGACCAACATTAAATTTCTAATAAACTACAGTTTGGTCACAAACATATTTTCTCGTTTAAAGTGTTCTGTAAAAACATTTGTTGTACTTTACTCCGATAAAATGAGAGACAGCGGTGGTTGTGTTGATTTAGCTGTTTTCGATTGATTGATGGCAAATCGCCGCAAACAAGCACAAAACCCATACATGCAGGGAATGGGTTTTGCAGACGCATTAATTTCACTCAAAATGGTGGGCGATTGTCAGTTTTCCTCGTTTGCAGGCCCTTTTATCACCCTATTCCATTGCGGATTGCATGATGGCTTGTAATCAAAAATTGAAATTAATCAATCAATCGTATTTTGGTTGCATTATCGATTCCAAATCATACTTTATTAGAACCTCTGACCCAAATCGAATTCGAATCCAGATTCTTGTTTCGTGGAAAATATACATTATAGCGATTGTAATTGCATGATAGAAATATATAGATATATGTGTGTACCTGGCCTTTTTTTTTAAACAAAATTTACCAAAAGCAAGAAATTAAAGTTAATTTAGGCAAGCCAAAGTTTAAATACCCTTGAACAATCGGATAATTATATATACATATGTACATAGTTTTTTCGGGTTCAATAACTTTAAAATGCATATGTTACTCGTAAAGTATATTTTCTTGAGAAGTATGTAACAGGTAGAAGGAACCATTTTTTATTAGGTTGATTTATTCCTGATCAGGATCACTAGCCGACTCGATCTAGCCATGTCCATCAGTCTTTCCGTGTGAACGTTGAGATCTACGAAACTTTATGAGCAAAAGACTTAAAATTAAGATTCTTGATTCTTGTTATGCCTACACACCGCAAATTTGTTTCGAAACTATAACGCTCATTTTAATGCCCAAAATCGTCAAACTCTGTAAGGACATTTTAGTTGATAGTTATTTGTATAAGTTTATTTGTTCTATATCTATCAATACACCAAAACACACCAAATTTTTCAAATCGAAGCCTTGTTTTAGGAGTTATTGAGAAAATAAGTTCAATATAGTTATTAGCTTCAGCTCTAACCGATAAAAATATCTTAACGTTAGATGGCGCCACATTATCGCCAATAGAATTACAAGTGGCGTCATCTGTTAGTGGGTAATTGTTTTGAAATTAGGCAACAGATATTTCGTGGCTCTCGACTTCTTTTTGTTTTTCTTTTAAGTTTCCAATCATTCCTATGACAGCTATTTGAATTCACGGACTCCAGGATTCATAAAGTTTCAAGATCTAAATTACCTTTTCTATTTTATCAAATATAAGTCGAACACTCACAAAAAATAAAGCTATGTGAGCCATACAGCTGCACTGAAATATATAGCCAATTGACTTAAAATGATCCATCACCCAAGCAATATGTCTGCCATTTCTGATAAACATTTACTGCATTAATAAAGGCCATTTATTATACATTCTCTTTGATCGTATAACTGTCATATATAGAACTGATATCCCCTGACATTTCCGTGAATTCGCAAGGGTGCAATTATATCTTGTTCCATATACGATATTTGCTGATGTAAGTTTCATTTTTTGTTTGTTTTTTTTTTACCTAAGCTGAATTGGATAAAAAGCCAACCCTATCAATATGTAGGTACATCTATCAAAATAATAATTACGGGGCGTGGTCGATGGGAGGGTGTCGACGACTTGTGCAGGAACTCTGGGTTATAGGCCCCAGACTGTATACCCTCTAGACCTATCCCACAATTTTTTCTAACGTTTCTCGACATTGTTTGCCCTGTGTCGCATTTTATCGTTGTTTATCGTGAGTCGAAATATGCAAATTGGACCGAATTGCCTGGTCGCAGGGGTGTGGGCACAAAAGATGTTCCAGTTACAATGGTTAACGACATGAATGCTACTAATTTTTCTATTGAGAGAGGGCCACCCACGCCAACCCACTCATCCTAAGCGGCCTTGATTGGTTGGGTGTGGGTGTGGGTGTTGGTGTTGTTTGTGGAACGGGTTAGCTGATGTGCAAGTAGCTGGGATCCTTTCGTTTCGCTTCATTATACCCTAATGTGAAGCATTACCATTGGTTCACAGGTTGCAATGTACAGTACTCAAGTGCTAATGTATTTTTGATGAGACTCATTAAATGAAATACATTTTAAGAAAGCCACCCATACTACGCCCTTTGTAATAGACCACAGTACAAGCTTCACTTAAATACCTTAAGATGTACAAGTAGGGTATCAATGGCTTCGCTCCAACAACCAAACAATACAACGTCTCCTTTCTGTCCCGATTCCAATGCGATGTCGAACAAACGACAACAAATCGCGACCTGACGTGATAACAAATAACCGCAAACCGTTGTTGCCAACAGAATTTGTATTGTTCGGTTGTTCAATAAATGTACATAATTTGAAGCACCCATCGGTGGCCAACTCGGATGCGCCATTCCCCCTTTCCTCGTTCATCATATCCCAATAACAATGGGCGCTGAGGAGGAGCCATCAATGTCAACCCGTGTAGTTCGCTTCGTTGCCTCCGACGGGCAAGTTGGACAGGAGCGAGTTAGCCGGCCTATTGTCCCTTTGTGCCCGGCTGTCCAATTCCCCGGATCCCTCAGGCATGTGCTCATCCGTTGGCCTGGTCGTCGAGGGCATTCCGCTGGGCAGTGGTCGCCAGTTTAGCCCCAGGTTGACCATGAAAAAGGAATACAATACCAGGTGCTTTCGTCCGGAGCGCTATCGTCACGAGGTGGCCAATCACTATAGGGATTACAAGCTGCAGCAGCATCTGCAGCAGCACCAGCTGGGATCTGGATCGGGATCCTTGGGACATCGTCGGCACAGGAAGAGAAGGCGTCAGTTCTTTGAGCGCACAGCGGAGGTATCTCGAGTGTCCGCCTCATTAGCGTCGGGATATGCGCAGTTCCGCGATGTGTGGCCAATCCATGTGCACTACTTTCCCAGGTGGGTGGTGCTGGTGGTGGTGATAGTGGTGGTGGTGGTGGTGTGGTGTGGTTCGTGGGTGGCAATTTACGCTCATATAGTGGGGCTCTTTGACAGTAACTGCCATAAATATAGGTTGGGTTCCAGCTGGGTAACAGCTCGTTGTCGTGGCATTTCCGACGCATCTCGGCAGCTCGAGTTACCTGGACGTGGCCTTCTCCACTCTGACGTCAGTGGTTTAGGTGGTTTCTGGTTGGATCCAACCGCACGGCCGCATCCTTGCAGGTGGCTTTCGGTTTCAACACCCTTAAGCCAACGTCACTCAACTGTTATTTAAATCGGAATTAATTAATTTCAATTTTCTATTGCATTACACAGAAAGCTCTTCTGCAGTCTTTCTAGTGAAAGTAAGAGTTCAGGGGAGAATTATATTAAAAAACTTAAAGCAAGGCATGGTTATACTTAAATAAGTGCTTAAGCCGAATAAAAGAAGAAGTATTAAAATATCTTTAACCCTCGACTGATATTAAAGGTCAAATTTGCTTAAACGCGGTTATAAAACTAAGAAATCTACCTCTATTATAAATGTTCAGCATTTATGAAAAGTATTACCTGTACTGATACTGATGCGAAATTCTTGTCAATAAATCTTATCCTAATGATTGAATAGTGACACCTCCACATTCATCTAACATAACCGACGAAATACTAACAAAATACAAACAAAAGGGAGGAAATCATTAACCCCAGCTTGGGAAAGCCACTCATCAAACCAACGACTGATATACAACCCCAAATTATGCTTGAGATAGTCAGCTAGACAAAATCATCTGCTTGATTTTGTGTACCCAAAAAATTAAAGCGCTATCTTTGGTAAGAAAACAAACAAACGGGGAGAAGGTGAACGCCAGTTTTCCCTTAAGGAGCGGTGGTTGGGTTTTTAATTATATTACGACCGTACGGGTGGGGTTCCGAGTACGGGTACACGGGTTTGGGTATGGGTTCCGGGTACCGGGTTACAGGTTACGGGAATGGGCTGAGGTTCGCTTGTTTGCTCGCTTGTTTGTCGTACGTGTTTGCATTTGCCATTGTAATTAATGTTTTGTTTGGTTCCATTCTATTTTCTGCCCATGATGTGCATAACCTTCCCCCGACTAATTGGTGCTTCCACTAATTACAGATCCGACGATACTACGTATGCCGCCCGTGGCCGACGGACAGTGTGCTCCGGTGAGCCGCCCGACGACACATACAACGACGCAGTGCGTCGCATAAGGAGCGCCCACAGCTGCGAGCAGCTGCGTCACCTGGTCCAACGGATCCCATGGCGGAGCACCAACTGCAGCGCCGGCAGCAGTGATGACCAGTTGCCGGTGGCCCCCGCGCACGGAAGCCAAACCAGCGACAGCGGCCGTGTCCGTGTCAATTATAAGCTAAATATTAATAAGTGCCCCCCCGCGAAAGCGGAAAGCCCACAACAGCAGCCGCCAATAGACTTCTACGGCTATTTGCAACTGGCCAGCGGCTATTACGAGCGGGGGTTGCAGGCGAACATCAAGTACCTGCAATCGATTGGCCAGCGCCAGCGGCGGCGTAATGCAATAAGGCCGGCACCGGGCTTATTCTTGGACGCAGTGCAGCGTGGCGAGAGTCCGGTGCGAAAGCTGACCGGGCGACTGGTGACGCTGCTCAAGAGTCTGCGACGCAAGGCGGCCAAGGAGGAGGTGGGCGACCCCGGCATCTGGGTGAACATCAGATCGGTCAAGCGAGGGGAGCAGGAGCAGGAAAAGGAGGAGGACTCGAACTCGGACTCGGGCTTGAACTTGAACTCAAACTCAGAGGAGGAGGGAAGAGAGGAGCCAAGAGAAGGGTCGGCTAGCATGCGTGATTATTATGCCCCAGGCTATACAACCACGGAATCAGGAGGAGCCACAGGAGCATCAGCCTCATCCAGAGCCACATTCGCCTCATCAGCGGGCGGAGCTGCTGTAGCCCAAGCCACATCCACAGCCGCCGATCAACGACGTCTCTACGAGATCATAGACAATCTGAGCCACCTGAGCATCGGGGATACCGGCGGCAGTAGTAGTAGTAGTAGTAGTGGTGTTGGTCGCAGGCAACAACTGACGCTGACGCTGCCCCAGATCACGCTCACCGACTGTACCGCTCAACAGGTGGCGCTGTACAGCGCCAGCTTCGACATTGTCACACTGCAGATACCCAACGAAGCCAGACCACCGAACCTCAATCTGAGAGCCACGTAGAATCAATATATAGGGGAACAATCGACAATTGAATCGAATAGAACCGCATTAAATCGAATCGAAATAACTGAAAGCGATAGCGAAACCTCGAACAGAACGGAACAGATCCCAAAGGCGCGCGCACGTCAGCGGAAATCGTTTATATGCTAAGTACAAAAAACCAAAAACAAAAAAAAAACATAATATAAAAACTGAAAACAAATAGCAAAATAGCGAAGCTCGCGCTCTCGAACAATGGTTGTTGTTGTTGCCGCTGTCGACGTCGTTGAAAACAGCAGCAGCAGCAGCGGGAGCGGTGACTGTAGCGGTATCGTAAGCGGTACCGCTGAGCTTCCAGCATTTGGCGGCAGTACACAAGCAACGGCGGTCAATAACAATCATACTGATAAGAATACTACTACAACAACAACGACGACTGGGCAGGTGACACTGGAGGAGGTGGGGGACGAGGAGGCGGAGGGGGAGAAGCAATTGCATCATCCAAAGGATACTCAGAAGGATAATCATCAGCAGCAGCAGCAGCAGCAGCACGAGTCGGAGAACAACAATTGCAGTAGCAGCAACAGCAGCAACATTGCCAACAACAACATGACGGACGCGGCCAAAGGAACCGCGCCGACGACCACATCCACGACAGGATCGGAGGCGGCCATGCCCACCAAGAGCGCCGTCAGCCAGCGGAACGTGGACATCAAGATCGAGAAGACCAGCAACATGGAGGCGGCCACACAGCAGCTGACCAAGAAGGTTCTCAAACTGGATCTGGGCGGCAAGAGCATCGACGAGTACTCCCTCAAGTCGCCTAAGTCACCCATCGCTGGTCAGTATACCCCTTATTGGTGTAGCACGGCATTGTTTTTGCAAACAATCGCAGGGACATTTCGATTTTATGAGGTTCAAAAATACAAAAATTCAATTTAAACTTTAGAGGAGCTGCAAACGATTTTCTAGATTTTAAAGTTGGTTACCTCATTATTTTCCTTTTATTTATTATTTATTTTTCCTGACAAAACTTCTGGCCAGTCGTATATATTTATTTCAGAAATATCTATACCATAAACACGGTATTAGAAATATAAATTTCAAGAAGCGTTCATGCTATTCAAAACAAATAAATGTTTGCTGTCGCAAAGCGGAGTAGTTCAAATAATTAATAGAACAAACTATAAATGCATACAAATCACTAGACTAAAATGAATAATAATGGCGTTTTTCTAACTGTCTTGTTAACGCAAAATAATAAGTATTAAAAATTAAAAAGTAATTTACTTTAGACCTTCAGCTAATTAAAATGAATACCGGAATCGGTCTACATATCATTGAGCTTATTGAGAAGGCGCCTCAATTGGCTGGCAAATTCCATTACTGTTTTCATCGAGCTTAATTAGTTTGGCCTGGAAAACACAGCAGACAGTGCGTTTCGGCACGTTAGCAACTTTAGCAAGTTTTAATTTTAACATTGGAATATATGTACCAGAAACGAAGTCAGATTTACCGAGTCAGATAAGCGGGGAAAAAGTGTTGATTGTATGCAAATGAATCGTTGTTATTTTTTATTTTTATTTCAGGAAACTCATCGATTATTTAAACTCATAAACACTTTATGTATTATCTTTTTCCTTATGAATTTTCAAAGAGGTTTGTTTATTTATTATTGTTTGTAATATAAAACTTAAACAACAAAGCATGGTGGTTTATGAAATCATCTGATTTTACACAATAATGGAATGAAAATTCTTCAGGATAAAAGTTTACTCATTGGAAAAAAAAATTCAAGTCTATGGAATATGTGAGTCAATCCGAATGATTCAGAAAAGTTGTTGAACTCCCAAGTGATTATAAGTCACTCTTATCAAACTTTAAAATTTAAAGGGAATTCTGTATCCAATTTAATGCCGGTCTGAACATAATGTGAACACACTTGTTCTAAATAATTTTGTTTGTTTTTGATTTTACTGTAGCCACATTCCGGATTTTGATATTTTATGGTTTTGTGACTAATATAACGATAATCAACGAATTTTTTTAAAGATTATGACACATTCAATTTTCAACATCATTTATTGAATTGTAGATAATTGTGAGATAGATAAGACAAATTGTATAGTATTTATGTCTATATTGTACCTTGCATTTTAGACCAAAAAGAGTTCTCTACCTTCAAAAACAATACATTGAAAATGGCTTGTACCAAAGGGAACTGAAGTATATGGGGTTTAATATTCTGTTAAATTCTACAGATTTTAGAGTAAAGAATAATTAGGCATTCAAAACTTGATTGGGAAAGTTTTGTGTACTGGATCTTTTATTCATGGGAAACTTAAAGCTGAAACTTCGTAGGTGAAAGTTTGTTTTAAAGTTTGACCTCAACCCCTCCCTTAAAAAATATATATTATATAAACCTTATGGTACACAAATTTTTGTATAAAAGACCCAATATTTGGTCTCAACAAGTTTAAATCGAAAATTTAGTTTAGATATCAATAGCACCCAATAAAAAGTTAAGGAAATCTTGCCATTAAAAAAATAAATTATGCCACACTTATTTAGTTGGGGGTTAGGTCATAGGTGAATCTTGTATTAAACTTTGCTTAAAAACTATTGACCCTCATTTATATTTAACAAAAGACCTGACTTTCTTTCTTTAAAAGTATGTTTGTTCATTTTTGATTTAGGTGCACTTTTATGTACAATTGTTTATTAGATGTATCCGGTATTCCTCTTATATAAATAAATAAAAATGCTTTAAGAACTCAGTCCGTAAACACTGCAAAATTCTCGTAATAAAAATTAGATTTCTATGTTTTCCACGTTTAGTTTATCAGTTTCCTCGAATTTCCCTCTCTCTACGTGGGAACTTATCAGGAAAGACAGGGCAATTGCTCTTGGCCTCTTTTTTGTTTATTCATTAGCTCGTTTTCATAAGCGTTTTATGTTTGCGCCAACAATCTGACCTTATTGTCAGATTAATCCTCCTCAGGGCGCGTTCATTATCGCGTTTATTATTATTAATTCGATTGCGAGTCGTTTTCTGTTTTGCCGTTTACGGCTCGCCGTATTCTGAATTCTGTGTTCTGTACTCAATTTGCATTCGCAGCACGTTTGCCGCATCAAACATCGCTGACGTCATCGGTGGACGTGGAGGACCGGAAGACATTACGAGAGGCCTTATACCAGGGTATATTCCATCGCCACCGCCGCACCATCTTCGCCGTGGGCAGCTTCCTGCGGATGCTGCGCAGCCGCAACTCGCAATACAACACGATACGCAGCTCGTCGGAGGGCGAGGACATCGATGAGGTTAGATAAGACCCAAAAATATGATCCCCATGTATGATCCCACGCCCATTCCGCACATCTCCATCAGCAGCTGCAGAAGCAACAACAGCAGGAGCTGGAGCAGTCGCATGAACACCTCCAGCCGCCTGGCCAAGAAGTAACGACCACATCCACGACACCACCATCCGGACAGCAGCGAGCATTGGATTCGATTTAGATGGCCTTGCTGCTTGAGTTGAATTTTGGATTTATTTATTAGCCCATACGACGTTCGCGTATTATAAAATGCTATTTTACGATTTACGATTATTGTTAAACATCGTGCAACCATGAGACTAGCCACCCGTTGTGTTAGCATGTAGTGAGCCATATTAGTTCCGTAACTAGTACTATTGTTGGCGGACAGTGACCTGACTCCATACCAAAACCCACATCTGCAGAGTACTGACGACATTCCCGAGGATCCGCTGCTTCATCTCGTTCATTCTTTGAGCAGATCGCCTTATCTTAACTGCGACCCACTTAAGCTTAACTAAACTGATAACTAAATGTGAACCCAAGCTGAACTTGAAACTCTTACTTACGTACATGCTATGTATAAAAAACCAACTTAATTGTATTAAACTCGCATTGTTTCAGCGCCCAGCTCTCAGTATATAGGTGAAAAACTAACCCAGTTCGCTTCATCTGTCCGTCTGTTTGAGTCACTGATATTTAGCTACCAAAATCAAGTTAATCCGATTAGTCATTTACCATTTTTTAATTAGTTAAGTTCGATTAATATCATTTTCGTAGTAGCCGGTGCATGTTAGAAGTGCAATACAAATTATTATACATTTTGAATAAAGCATATTTTGTTCTTAATATAATATCACTAATCAAAATGGTTAATTTGTCTATAGAAGTAGTGCAATGTATAAACTTAAAATTAAAACAAATCATTGATCCAAATTAAAGTTTGAACTTATAATATTCCGCATAAATAGTGTTTAGAAGTTCAGTATAATAATATAGATTTAAAAAGGTTTCAAAAATAAATTTCATAAAATTTCTTAATTTGTATACCCTTGTAGAGGGTATTATAATTTCAGTCAAAAGTTTTTATAATATGATTTTGCTCTGTCTTAATTTCACCTAAAAACTAATGTTAATTGGCATTGTGCTATTAAATATTTCGCATCAGAGTTCTTAATTAATTATTAATAGTTTATTGTTAAAATCACACAAACACTTACAGGGTTTCAAAGCTAAAGTACTTTAGGTTTTTTTTTAATATGGTGTGATTTTATTTATATCTGTGCTTAAAATTTTCTTATAGTCTTTTAGGTAAAATAATTTGCATAACGTAAGAGCTAAACCTTTTCTAAACTGCCTTCAATAAAAATCAGAGTGCTGGGTAACCAAATAGTCGAGCGATAATCGACTATAGTTTTTTACTGATTCTTCAGTTTATTCCATTCCGTTTTTTTTTGTATGTCATTGAAAATTCGTTGGCATTCGTATTTCATTGCAAAGGGAACAAAACTTATAAAGCCGCACGTCGAAAAAATGTTTTTTAAACGATGAACAAGTTGATATATTGCGCCTAGACCTAATATATATATGTAGCTACTATATACGATATATAAACCCATATATACTGATATATTTGAATGTATATGGCCTAGTTATAGAACATACACGATTGTTGTTGTCCCCATAAACATATTATGTGTAATTAACTTTGATTTGCGATCCCACAACCAGAAACACACATTTAATAATTAGTGTAAACATATATTTTAGAGCATTTTTTTTGTTCATGGTACCTTACGTATAGAGCTAGAACTAATTGCATAGTTAGTGGTTTAAGATGACATTTTGTACAGGACAAAGACAATGGAAATCGTTTCATGACACAAAAGACAACCGATATTTGCTAAACTGTACCGTAACCATACCATTTTGTAGTTCACTTCTTATTACACCCCACTTACTCCCAATACTATTATTTACCCGATTTGATTTCTATTGGAAGAACAATAAAACCTAAACAAATGCTAATTACTGCTTGCCGTTTTTTCTTTGTGATTGATCATCAGAGATTACTTTTGATCTCTCGTTCCTTTCAGTTCCTCAAGCGACGTGGTTCAAAGCTCCGGCGATTTCCGCACCTCTTCGATCGCTGATTCCGAAATGTACGAGCTATTTAATCGTTTATAGTTTGGTGTGCTGTCAGCCGAGTCTGGGCCAAAATGAGGTGAAGTTAAGGACCGGAGTCCAGGGCTGCGGCAAGGATAAAGGTGCTGGCCAATTGCCACCCAGGCTGGCTAGAAAATCCTGGAAAGGGTGCAAAAAAATATATTACAAAAGTCCTTGGTAATGATGATTTCGAAGAGGAATATAGAGCCATCGATATCAAGGAATGACTTCTTCTAAGTTCTATGGAAAACACCAATATACTAAATTTAAGAAAAGGCTTCTTTTTAGGTGTATGAAATATGAAAGTCATCAGTAATTCCGTAATTTGTGTATTTACAAATATTTATCAATTGGAGTTTTTATAATTATTTTTACCTTATCACTAAGCGTTGAATTACCGGAAAAATCATAATTTAAACCGCTAATTTGAATACCATTTTGATTCGATTTTATTCTAAGATTCATATTCAAAACATATTGTTAGACAAATTTGTTAAATACCCTTTTTGACTTCGTTGCAAGAAATTGGCATGCATAGAATAAGGCGTACTTTTGATTTAGCTATTACTCGACTTATTCGGTAAAAAAAAATTGATGTTAAGTCGCTGACATAAATAAAATGGACATATGTATGTACGAGTGTGTACAACATATGTCCCCTTTTTACTTTGTACTAGCTGTTTTTAGCGTTCGATAGCCCACGGTGGCCATCACCATTGGATAATTGGATTATTCTTACAATTCGTTTTAAAATATAAGCCACGAGCTCTTCAGCTGGTCACAATACAATGTGTTATTCAAGTCTATAAGCCAACTTGTAAGCCAAGCTTACAACGAACCACGGGTTTTTTGGTATTAACTACACATCGATTATTGCTTTAAAATAGCATTGGGAATAATGCAAACATTCGGCACCATGGATACCCATAATTTTTACTCGCGAGTTCTTAAAGTCCAAATGTTTAGTATATTTTGTGGATCAAAAATTATAATTTGAAGTTATTTTAATGAAATCGCTCTAGGCTGGGGTCCATCGAATAAAGTATGGGAATAATTTCGTTGGTTTACTTACCTGTGGTGGGGGAGCGGCCACCACATACGTGTCTTCATCGACGGCCTTTTGGATCAAGGCCCGCAGGTTGGCCACCTCCCTCAGGTTTTGCGGGGTGACCACCACCTTGGCCTGTGAGTTGGGCGCCAACGGAGGTCCCATCAAGTGCTTTGGCGTCACTATCTGACGGCGATACTTTATCACAGGTCTGGCTGAAGCCGAAACGAAAAGCCACAAGATCGTCAACTGCCAGCGCATGGTGATAGCCATCAAATGAATGCTGTAACAGTGGAGTTCCAGCAAGCCAGAGCATTACCGATGTCAGCACTTTTCGCCTGACCTTATGGTGCTTCAACAACACAAGACGTTTTCATTTGAGAATTTATTTTTGTTTCGACAGTGAACACGCAAAACCGTGTTCCGTATAAGACTTTTTACATATCTCTAGCCCAAGGTTTGGGTTATAAAACGCATTACATTATATTAGGTCTGCAGGTAAGCTTAAAGAAATGAACATACTAAACGAAAATAAGAACACATATGCGATCTAGGGATTGGCTACTTCAGCGGGCGCATCCTGCGGCTCATCCTTGATATGCACATCGTCGTCCTCCTGGTCCTCCTTGCTGTTCTCGTGCAGCAGCACATACTCGCGCGAACTGAAGCCGAACTTGATCACGTCCTTCTCCATCAGCTCGTAGTACTTCCTGCCATCGATCTTCTTGTTGTTCAGGAACGTGCCATTGGCCGACTCCAGATCAATGAGGTAGAGCCGCACGCGTTTGCCATTACTACCATCCTCCCGCTCGAAGGGCACCAGTCGATACTGCAGGGCCGCATGCTGCTTGGAGCAACTGGGATGGTCCACTGCCAAATCGACCACCTTGCGATCGCGTCCCACCAGGAAGCAACTCTGCCGATGGATGTGCAGCGTGGGCAGCGCCGTTTCGCCCTTGAACGGGTACAATCTCCAGCGGCGCTTGGGTTTTCGGGCCTCTGGCGGCTCTGAGTATTTCACCACCACGCCGTTCACTTTGTTGGTGTCCTCGGTGAGGGCGCCACTTAGTCCGAAGTTGGGCTTCTCCTTGTCCACCGGTTCCTCCTCCTCGGGCGGCGCCTTGTCGTCGCCCTGTTTTCCCCAGTCGTACTGCTCGTCCTCATTCCTGTTCCGATTGTCGCGACGCTGGTTTCGCTGTCGTCCCTGGCCAAAGTCGCGACCTCCGCGGTGGGTGCGATCGCGGGGACTTTGACTGCGGCTGGAAAAGGGACAAAATGTGGCTTAATTGGAATTACCAGTATTGTTGGACTTCACTGAAACCTAACTGAAATTAATAGTTGTATTAAACTGATATACTAATGCTTCAATCTAGTGCTACCAACAACGAATTAATCTTAAAATTCAGTTAGTGAGAAGTCAAAGTAAGAATATGAAATACTTGCGCACTATTATTATTATTATTAAAACTCAACTTTTCTTATAGTTTATACAGATTCGAAGGGTATACAGGTTAAAATTGAGTTTTCTTTGTATTTAATTAATTGCCTAATTTTATCTAAAAAGTAGTCACATTCGTTAACGCGCGATCTCGACGTTCTAAAAGACATAAATGGTTGGATCTACCTGTACATGTACCTTATGCTCTACAGTTAACGGCGGTGATGATGCTAATTCATGTTTGGGTGTTGCAATATCCTAGTAGTAACCGAATAATTTAAAAGTATATACAATATATACATAGGTTTCAAGACAGATGCCCGTTTCTTATTCTCATGGTAAGCTAAAAGGTTTTAAAGTAAGAAAACGTATGGAACTTGGCAGTTTAAGACATACTTTTGGTTTACCATAAGAATAAGAAAAACTGGCTTAAGGTGTAGAAATAAGCTGGGTATTTCTGTGGGGTGACCTACCGAACTGGCCTCCTTTCTGGCGACCTCCGCTGGCGATCCCGCTCCCGATCCTTGCGCTCGCTGCTCCGAGACCGCTGGCGTTGTCCTGGAGATCGCTGTCTCTGTCCTGGAGATCGCTGACGGCGCTCCTTGCCGCGCTGCATTTGATTGTCCCGCTCACGATCTCGATTCCGTTCCCTGTCCCGGTCTCCGCGATCCCTGTCCCGCTCCCTCTCCCGTTCCCTGTCCCTCTCCCGCTCGCCGCGATCCCTGGAGCGGCTGCGGCTGTGCCGGCGCTGCCTCGTGCTATTACGATGGGAGCCGCTGTGCTCTGGACTGTCCCACTTGGAGCGCTGCTCTTGCACCTCCTCCGAGGGCTTCGCTGGCAGTTTGGAGCGCTTTTCCGTGGCCTCTGGGGAGTCTCGGGGTTTCCTGCCGGGCCTCGACTTCTTTCTGCCGGGCGAGAGGCTGCTGTGAGTGGATTTCTTGCTTCCGGAGGAGGAGTCCGACGAACTGGATGAATCTCGGGCAGCCTTTCGCTTGGTTTTCTTTGATTTCGATGAATTGCGTTCGCTGATTTTGGTGTCCTCCTCGTCGCCGCTGGAGGATTGCGGTTCCTGATCTCGCTCCCGGCTGCGTCGCTTGCCCATTTTCGGATAAAACACGTTGGCTTTACCGAAATCAATGGGGAAATCAAATATTAAAAAATGCCTTTATTTTTTATACCGTCAGCTGTTAAAACAGTGTGACCAGGTTGTGCCAAATTACCAGCTAGATACTAAAAAATTATAGCGTCCGTCAAGACAGCGTCAGTAATTATGAAGCCCTCAAACTAGGATAAATGTCCATTTTTTATTTGTTAATTTCCTCGCTGTTATGGCATTTTTTCAATACTTTTTTTTGTATAAGCTTTCAGAGTGTGGATCATTTTTCAGCGATTTTCAAATAAACTGATTAAAATTTGTATGATTTACCCTTGAAGAATCGTCCTTAAGTGTGGGGAGCCTGTTTTTCAAATGCCTCCCTCAAAGATTTCAAAGCTCTTATAATTATGACAAAATAAATTTTTAACGTGATCATCTATTCTCAACATATCTGCATTATCATTTTTGTACAGCCCCCGAGTTTCGAGTACCGCCGCTACCTTGACGCACATCGTTCTTTTACATTTATAAAAAATACTACATTTTATAATAGTACTTCGCGTTAGGCGGTCAGCAATTGGGCGTCTCTGACTGGCCGCAGCTGGTCACACAGGCAAAAAGCCGTGCGAAAATCGAGCGAAATTCCAGCGAATTCCGGTGGCCATGCCAGGATAATTGCCATTTAATCCTCCGGACCGCCATGCTGTTGTGCGGCCTGCAGCAGCGTTCGTAATAAGCAGCTGTTGCAGTTGCAGTTGCCCAACCCACAAGAAGTGCGAGACAGCGTCCTTTTTGCGAAATCCAGCACCTGGATAGCCACGATGACACCCTTCGATGACTTTGTCTATCTGATCAATCATGTGCTGCTGGGCGAGGAGCCGGTAAGTCGGCTATATGCCGCCGATCCCCACCAGACATTGATTTTTGCCCTTGTCCAGACCATCGAGGACTTCATACTGCTCGTGGGCACACTGGTGGCGTTCATAGCCTTCATCCTGTGGTGCTGCTTTCCTATTCAACCGAAGGTGCGTTACGCCAGGGGATGTGGATGTGCTGAAATCTGTATAACTTGTATTTCCCTCCGCAGGAGCCTGGTCCCCATCGCCAGTTCACGTGCAAGATCATCCAGAATCCCATTAAGGCATTCGACGCTTCCACCAGTACCGATGATGCACCCAATCCGGGAAGTGGCTCCGGAACCGGAACCGCCACCGGACCCGGCAACTCCACATCCAACCCAACGCAGTACAATGGCAGCAGTGGCAGTGCCAGTGGAAGCTACAGCAAGAACGGCACCGTGGCCATGCACAACTACTACGTTAAGAATGGACACCATTGCTGCACCTAAGGATGATCAACTGTCCATGTCCGAGGCTGGACAGGATGTTATGTTACACACAACGCCTTTAGTTGCCACTTTCGGAGCACAGCCATCCGTATGCAGAGGGCATATCGATTGAGATTTGTGCCAATTGGTTCGACAGGTTGTTAGGTGGCGGCTAAAAGCTGCCAGTTCGCATTCGCAGGCACATTTGAATTGTAATTGCTCAGACTGATTTGTTTATGGAACATGAGAAGGATGAGGACGATGATGAGGAGGTGGATGTGGCGGAGGTGGGACAGGTGGCAGGGTCAAGGCCGCACGCACACAGCAGCCCCTGGCAAGTTTCTAAAACTTCCTTGATATCTATATATGTTGTGTGCATTTGTTGACATACCAAATGTAGTGTGCGTATTTGTGTAAAGAAAATGAAACTGGGTATGAAAACCAAGCAACTAACTCTAAGTATTTATTTGTGTAAACGATTCGCTTAGCCCCAGAGAAACTCAAGACATTTGCCAACACATTGTGTGCAAACAAAAAACAAAAGCCCTTAAAGTATCTATCAATTATGTTCAGTCGGGGTGGAGGATTAAAGACTCCCCCATATACCTATATATATATATATATCTTTAAGATACATTATGTACACACCCAGATACACACCATTAATTAGCATAGGTATTAGCCCTCGAATCGCTTTTGATTTCTACATATTTGATGTGTATTACGGTGTATTGATCTCATTTGATGACTTATTTATTTGTGATGTAACTTCAAGATAATTCCCATACTTTCCAATGCGAATGGTTTGTAAACCCCTCTAAGAAGCAAATGAAACTAAAACCTAACGACAACCCGACACCCGAGTGTTACCCTTGTATTACTATTCTGTTTTCGGGGTCCAATCGTTTAGCAAACGGCCCTCAAGTCAAGCCGCCAATGCGAGCCACTTGAGCGATAGATAATTCGAAATGAAAGGCAGATTCCGTAACATTTGCCTTAGGATGTATTTATAAATTAATAACAATGGTATCAAGGGTATTAGATAACGTTAACAAATAGTTTTTCTACAGCACTAAGCACACATGGAAGCGCGGAATATCAACAGAAGGTTTTTGTGTGTGGTTTTGCGGTTTTGTCGGTCTTTTTTTTTCCGTTTTTGCGGCCCTGAACAGGAAGATGGGTGAATATCGTGGGCACTTCTAGATATGCGTGTTTATTATCCTCTTAACTGCTAGTATCTCGTTTTTGGGCTTTGGTAACGGTTGAAACATTTGTGGATGGTCCTACAGGCTATGGGATATGCACAGAATCATATATACAATATATACAACGCGAAATAAATAGAAATCGCTGCTGGAAGCTTCGTCATCTAAACCTAGACAGTCTTAGGCAATAATCAAAGCGTAAACTAGGGTAAAAAAAATACAGAGTATGTACTGGTTCTGATTTGCGGTTGAATATTAAATTGATAGTTACAAAACATAGCTTTTGTACTTATCATTTTAGCTATTCCAGCTGCACCAGACCCAGTATTAACCGAACAATAGTTCCAAGCGAATTCAAACCCTGCGAGTGGATTGCGGCGGTGATGATATCCTGGTGCCAGCACCAGGTCTCCTCTGGGCTTCCCGATTCCATCACTAGCTACTGCAGTCTCTGGGGAAGAAGACATTCATCTCGATGAGGATCTGCAGGACGATAAACACCCCGTAGACCGTGAAGAGGGCCACGCCCACCCGCTTGGTGAGGCGGTAGCCACTGAAGCTGAGGATGATGAACAGGGCCACCGTGGAGATGATCAGGATCAGGATGTTGTACTCGATGCCCTGGGTGCCGACCTGCTGGGGCTCCCCGGTGCCGTAGTTAATGCAGTTCTTCACGAACCACGGAACTCCCAGGGACAACAGGATGGCCAGCGAGTTGGCGCCCAACGAGTTCGAGACTCCGATGCCGCTTTCACCTGGAAATTGGGGAAAATATCACCATTAGTATCGAATAAAGTCTAAAGTAATAGTTTTGGTAGGTCAAAATTATTATTATGTCTTATAATTTTTCTATTTTGTTTTTGCATACTTTTGTCTTCTTGGTTTTTCTTTTACTTGTGCAGTTATAATTCCCAACTGGTTCTAGCACTGACTCACAGGACAAACAGTGGAAAGTTAAGACTTAACTTTAAAGGGGAATGGTATCCTTTTAATTGGTCAACTTGTGTGTATCCCAGATCACTCACCATTTCTCAGTGAAATAAGGCTAGAGACGGCTTCCGGCATGGTGGATCCGGCGGCCAGGAAGGTCAGGCCCATCACAATGGTGGGCACATGGATGGCCACACCGAAGGCAGTCAGCATCCAAACAATCAGGTAGGCGTTACCCCCGATGCACAGAATGCACATGATGAAGGACAATGGGTACAGGCGGCGGTGCTTCATCGGGTGCGGAATGAGCAGGGATAGGGAGAACTTGATGGGGAAGACGAAGATCCACCAGAACTGCATCCATCCGGAGGCGTTTCGCGGATAGGCGTATATGCTTTCGGGCATACCGTCCTCCTCGTCGTCCTCTCCGTTCCCTAAAAAAATTGTAGTTTATTATATAGACTAATTATTTAATGGAGTTATAGACAAAATACTTACAGTGCTTGGAGTGCGTTAGGTTGGCGGTGGAGGACATAGACGAGGTGTTCTCGGGGAGATTGACCACAAAGAGGCCGTCGCCGGACAGTGGATCCTTCTTCAGCGGCAGCTGAGCCTTGGCACTGTTCTCTGGGGGCTCTGTCAGGTCTGGGTCATAAAGATTAAATTAATCAAAACTGAACCAAGTAATTCCCCAGTTAAAACACACCATATCGCGTGGAGAAGCAGCAGTTCATCCGATCCTCGATAAACACCCGGATGGCGGGCATGAACTTGTTGTTGTTGAACGTGATCAGGTAGTAGAGCACCAGGAATCCCATCATGATGCAGGATTCCGTGAAGCTAATGCTTCCGCCCCAGGCCAGAACCAGCAGGATGATCGTGTTGAAGATGTAGATGAAGCAGTCGCGGGCTATTGGCCACCAGTCCAGCTGCACCGGCTGTCAATCAATAATCAAGGTTAGTCACGTGTATCTTTGGAATTATTCATAATTTAACTATTTTTTAACAAATTAAAATGGGTCATATCTGTGGTGAAATTTTAAAAATATCCCGCAGATAAGATACTTTAAGAATTTATCATAAACCAATGATGAGTAAGATTAAATTATATGTGTTTGTTTAAGGTAACGCTAGTTTACAAAATTATTTCGTTTCTGAAATTAGTTGTATAATAAATTTTATAAATAGAATAATTAAAACCTTAATTTATTTATAAAAACAATTATTTAATTTACCAATTTTAACAAATTATTTTCTTTGTAACTTAAATTTTGTCAAATGGCTTGAATAAAAATTGTAATCCCTAATTAAATTAAACTATGAGCAAAGTGTTTTGATTTTTAGCTTAGACTAACACTTAACTATTCAAGAAAATAGTATCTAAATAATTTTGAGTTATTTAATTATTAAATAATATTTAAGGCTTACCTTATCGATGGACAGAGCGGCCAATCCGGCCACGCCCAGTGTGTTGAACATCAGCGAGCCGATGATCGTGCCCAGACCCATGTCCGACTCCAGGATCAGCGTACTGATCGTGTTCGTGAAGAACTCGGGCATCGAGGTGGCCGTGGCCATGAAGGTGGCCGCCGCCACGTCCTTCGACAGGTGCAGGTCCTCGCAGATGCACTCCACCGTCGGCAGGAAGTAGTCGTTGCAGATGATGGCCAGCAGGATGAAGAAGTAGACCGCGGCGAAGACGTGCAGCACCACCCATCCCTGCCGGAGTTGCTCCACTGCGGATTGGAGATAGAACAGGAGGGTACTTAATATGGATTGTGTAGTAAAATACACCTATAAGGTAAGACAATCCCAAATCCCAAATAACCTCTTGCCGCTGATCAAGAATGTATATATCATGTCACCTTTTTGCACAAGTACAATTGCTAACTATTAAAAAGTCACTCATATGTTCGCAAGAATACTTTTTGGAGGTCTTATCCAAAATTTGCAGACATGGGAGCTTACATTGCCAATGAATTTTGGAGTCCAAATCTTTTCATATAAAAAACACTATTCTGATTTAACCCTGTTGCATTGCAGTAAATTGTAAAGTGTAGTTCAAAACCGATATGATTGAACTGGCGGTGCCTACAAATCTAAATGAGCTAATTTAGTGACTAATTTTTAAAATAACACATGGGAAACCAAGAACGTGTTCGCAAAAAAAAAACTATATATCTTTATGGCCCCCATTATTCCCCTATAAACACCCATCAAGAAACACCCACTCACAATAGGGCTTCCGCACACTTCATAGATACAGATCCAATCTACTTCACCTGGCAACGGGCGGTGGATTAGATACGTACACGCAGTCGATCTCAATCATTCCCTAAATTTAGACCCGAAAAAACTGGCTTGTATTTGGGTTGAGTAAAGACACGATGAAAGCGGCCAAATCTTATCAAGGTTCCTATTCAAATCTATAACCCGTTCCCTCTACAGATAACGCCATCTTGGCGAGGTGTAAGTGTACAAGTTGGCTATTGCCATTGCTATTGCTATTGTGATAAGAAAGCGTTCCCCAAGTGCTCAGTCTCGTGCCCAATTGCCCAGTTGTATGCTTGTCCGTTTGTCTACTTATCCGTTTGTCCGTTTGTCTATTTGTCCGTTTGTCCGTTTGTCTAGTTATCCGTTTGTCTATTTGTCCGTTTGTCTACTTATCCGTTTGTCTATTTGTTCGTTTGTCCGTTTGTATATTTATCCGTTTGTCTATTTGTCCGTTTGTCTAGTTATCCGTTTGTCTATTTGTCCGTTTGTCTTCTTATCCGTTTGTCTATTTGTCCGTTTGTCTGTTTGTCCGTTTGTCTACTTATCCGTTTGTCTATTTGCCCGTTTGTCCGCTTGTCCGTTTGTATACTTATCCGTTTGTCTAGTTATCCGTTTGTCTACTTATCCGTTTATCTATTTGTCCGTTTGTCTACTTATCCGTTTGTCTATTTGTCCGTTTGTCTACTTATCCGTTTGTCCATTTGTCCGTTTGTCTATATGTCCGTTTGTCCATTTGTCCGTTTATCCATTTGTCCGTTTATCCATTTATCTATTTGTCCGTTTGTCCGTTTGTCCATTTGTCCGTTTGTCCATTTGTCCGTTTATCCATTTATCTATTTGTCCGTTTGTCCATTTGTCCGTTTGTCCATTTGCCCGTAACTACAGTGTAGTAGTGTATTTAATGACGACGCCGTAAACAGACTATGCGGGCTGCCTGATTTATTGGCCATTTAATTGGCCCTTATCGCCGTAGCTGATAGGGCTGAAGCAGGAAAAGACATTGGGCCAAGACACCGGACAGCGTGGATAGCCTACGTTGTCCACGGACAAGTTCAAGTTCGGTCCGGAATCCGGAATACGGATTGCGGAATCTATTTACAGCGCGCACACATTCCGCGCATTCGGGTCGCCCTTGTAGTGCGGTTATCGGAGCGGAACTCACCCGTAAACAGGTCGGCGAACTCGTCCATCGGGGAGCCCTCATCTTCGCCCGGACACGTGGCACGTGGCAGGATGTCCAGGAGCAGTTGCTCGTCGAAATAGCGCAGAGAGACCTCCAGGAAAGTGCTTCCGTTGCCAGTGGCTGCTGGAATGACAAGAAAGGCAGGCAATTAATCGATTGCTCATCGGGGTCCTCAGATGCATATCTATCTCCGCGGCCCTGACTCTCTTCCAGGTTAATGGAGAATTCGCCCAACGATAAGATTAAGTCGCGGCGGAGAAAACAACAACGACTGACAGCCGAGCAATCATCGCAATCAAAATCGACTGTTGTAAAACAATTCGAGAATGATCACCTGTTGCCAGGTGGTTGCTTAATAAGGGTATATTAGTTAAAAAATAATAATATTTAATTTGGTATTTCATTTTAAAGCCTTAGTTTCCCAAAATTTTATATTTTTACGCCTATACAAACGACCTTTTATGCTTAAAGATATGTTATTTCTAGTTTAAACAAATAATTTTCTTGTTGTAAAGACCATTTAAATACTTGAAAGTTTGTTTTTGCCTTAAATCATCTTAAAAGCTAAAAAAAACTACTTTTTCAAGAAAAGTCTAATATCTAAAATTTAGAAATCTATTTTTAAGAGTGTACCATCTATTTGGGCTTCAGAAATTGACAGTCTTTATAATTGTATTTTATTTCCGAACTTGACAGTCTTTATATTTGTATTTTATTTCCGAAATAGAAAGTGTTTATATATGTATTTTATATCTGATGCACTGAACAATATTTCATTTAAAGAAATACATTTTTGTAATAAAGTAATAAAAATGTCTTTATTATATATTTATAGTATTTTGAGGAAGAAAAAATAGAGGATACAATGTAATAATGAATATATTTTATTTGAAATTTGCTCCAAAATATTTATAGCTTAAAGAAGAATTAAGGAATTTAAATCAAAATTTGTTTTAAATAACAGCTTTTTACATTTTGTGTTACAATTAAAAAAGATGCAATTACTTCGAACAAATACAAAGCAAACTTGTGTATCTAAACTATGAACCGGCAATTTTCTTCATTAACTTTCTCTTTGTAGAACTTTCTACATGGCTGCCAACATTAAACGCATTGACATTTTTATTAAGCGCCCTATATTAATTTTTTCCTTTTTGTATGCAGCAAATCCAAATCTAGAACTTAAAATAGGAATTCTTAAAAGAAACCCATTTAATAAATTAATTTAAAACAGTAAAACTTGGTCTAAAAATCAAGCGGCCATTAAATATTGAATTTGAAAAACATGGTTACATATAATCATAAAGACAATTTAAGAAAACTAAAGCTTCATTAAAGTGTGTTTAAGAATCTAGAACAATACTGCCTGTAAAATGTCTTTAAAATTATTTACAAAAGTTGTAACTTAATGCGCCATTTTAAAATGTATACAAAATAATGACTGTCTTAAAAATCGGAACAAAGTACTTAGCTTTCCGGGGAAGTAGACCTCTCCACTGCTTTTTTCAGATAGCTTTTATTGGCTTTTAAGTTACTCATTGCTAGTTCCCGACTATTATGATTTCATTATAATTTCTGCAGTTCGCACGAAACGCTCAAGAAAAACAAAAACATTCCATTCATATTCGTGGTCAGATAACCAATTATATAGCCGTGGGCGCAATTAAGTTGGATGCCAGTGTTAATGCGCCTCTGCTCGATTTTGATTGGCATTTTTTTACAACATTGTTATTTGTTATTTGTTACTCGCTATTTGTTGTTTTCAGTGACTTTACTTTTCAAAAATTGCATTCGCATCCCAAAATAACGGCGACAGTCATGGGCATTCGGCTGATGATTTGTTTATATTTGTCTGGCTTTGTGTTATTATTATTATTGTTTTATAATCCCCAGATGGGGATTGGGGGTTTCTTTATCTCAAGGAAGGGTGAGTTCTTCGTCTAGGTCTGGAACGTTATCAGTTTTACACCCCCCGGCCAGTAAATGAATTACCAATGTCAGTCACCATTTTTTTGTTTCGTTTTCACTTGGTTTTATCATTATTTTCGTGGCGTTTTTGTTGACCAAGTCCCACACACAGTGGGTGCAACCTCTTGACCCGATTTTCCAGATGAACTCGATGCTCCAGCAACGCTCGATGGAATTCCATCACTTGGCCATTGTTTTCGATTCGTATTCATATTGTTGTTTCGTATATTGTTGTAAATTGCGTGCCAAGAATTGTGGCACCTGCACAGCAGCAACATCGCCGATTGCACGGCAGCAACATCGCGCGACAAGAGCAATAATTGTTTAATTGTTTTCCACCTGCAATCTCCAGGTGGAAAATGAGAATTGAAAACATGGCAGACAATCGCGGCGGGAAAACAAAGGCAAACAGCATAAGGCAAACATCGGGTTGTCTTACATACTCCCTGCACTCAAAACCAGTGGGTCAAATTCACATCCACATCCACATCCACAATCGCAACTATGGGCACTCATGTCGCGTCCCGCCGAGAGGAAAAGTCTTGGCCAACTAAAAAGCCAACTTGGCATTGCATCTGGAATGCATTTAGCCATAGTCGGCATCGGAGTCGCAGAACGTGTCTACGTGTATCAGTATTACGGCCCAAAACCCGAACCCGAACCGAGCCGAGCTCAGCAGACAAACAAGTTTATTGAACTTGTTGGCAACTGGCAGTTCGGCGGGCAAACACTTGAAAAAAAGTAGAAAAACTACTACAAAATTAGGAAAAGTGTATACAGAGCTTGATTTTATTTCATTTTTCCCTGTCCTAATTCCTAATATATTTGTGTACTACCCACAAAACAAAGTTCATTACATTGCAGGTCAAAGATCCATAAAATATCATAATATAATAAGTGATTATTTATTCTACTATTTTATACAGAGGAAATTGAGTTTTTTTACAGATCTTACAGTCCTTAATATATAAAGTGTTTTTTTTAGCTAAGATCTTCTTAATTTTGATAATACAAACAAATTTATACTTTTGATACTTATTTTGTTCATTTTTAACAGTTTAAAAATTTGATTTTAAAATTTTTTTTTTTAAATATAACACCTCTTTGGAAATGTAATGAAAATGAATTTTTTAATTACAATAATTAAATTACATATTTTAATTTACATATTTTTTCTTATTAGCTGTTCTTATTTTTGCTTTTTCTAAATAGTTATTAAAAAGCGACAATTTTTTTTACCACAAGATAATGTGAGTTATACAGAAACCTACGTCAATGGCTTTTTAAAACCAAAGGGAATTCCCCGAAGTTTCTGAAAACGTTTTTTCGAGTGCCGCGTATCGCTTATGAGATGCATTGGAAAACCCAAGCTCTCGTCAAGTCGAATGCCCAGTCAAAGTCGAGTTTTATTCCTGAATATCGGGCCGACATGCGGAAATCGGGGAAATTTGTGGGCTGAGGGCCTAAAGCCCTCGATCAGGGCCAAATCGGGGACGGCGACTACGGGAAGTCCCAGGTTTGGAGGCCCCGCCCACCGATTCGAGCCATTGTGCAACTCCCAGTTGCCAAGGCTCTCCGCCTGTTTTGCAATCATTAATCGAGGCGTTTTTCTTTGTTCCAATTACCGGCCCAGCGAGGGTCGAACCAAGAGTTTTGAAACACCAGGCCATTCCAATGCAAATGCAATTGCAAATGCAAATGAGCATTACCATTCGAATTCGAATCAAAGTCACTGCGATTCGAATCAATGCGAAATGTGCTGGCTAATTGTTTGGTAAACACGCTTTATTGGTTCACTGCCAGTTATCCGATGGTAATGGTATATTGCTATAATGGTTATGCGCCATCACTGGCCAGCAAAAGTTTGGATCGCGAACTGAGTAGCATGAATATGCCGACTGTATATTTACAAATTTATATATGTATTGCCAACTGACTTTCAATTCGGCAAAAAATATTATGAATTAATATTTGAAGTCATTTCCAATCTGATTAGTTAAAATAATAATTAAGTGAAATTAATGTTTCAAAAACATTTACTTTCTCAGTATCATGATGGAGTTTATCTATTTAGTTAAAACAAAAATAATTTTCTTTTTGTCTAAATTTTTTAACGATTTGTGGGCAAACAGATCCATTCAAGATTTGTGGTTTAAACAGTTAACACCTAATTGAGAAAACCAAATTGTGCTACCGAACTATTTAACTATATATTTAACTTTTCTATGACATTTTGCAAACTAGAACCTTAATATGACGTTGTGAAATCAGCCCTTGGAGTTATTAAAAAAGCCATTAATTGAAATTTAATTTAAAATTAAAAGTACTCAATCCTAAATGAATTCTCTTAAAAGTAGTTAAGCCAAACAAGTTTTAAGAAATCAACAAAAACTATTTAAGGAAACGCCGCAATAGCCATAACTGAAGAATTAAAGGGAAACCATTAAGATTTGGTTGTAAATCAACAAAAACTGATTGATTACAAAAATATTTATGGCCGAAAGATAACAGAGAACGTAATGCTCTATTTAAAAATAGTATGTCTGGGAACTAAAGTACTAAGAAAGCAACGATTACGTTCGATTATAGTATGGTACTTATTCAGAATGGTACATTTTAAATGTTATGAATGCAACTTACCCCAAGATATCGTCTGTTTAATGTGTAGTAAACGAATGGCCATGACATGAAAAGGGAATGGTAACAGAATGCATGAATATGAGGGATTATGGAATAAGGTTACGCAAAAAGAACATATTGAAGTATCATAAATCTTAATTCCTTAAAATTAAACCATCCAAATTGTTTAAAAATTATAAAAAATCCCTGCAATCACTATGGCACTCGATCATTGATATAAAAAAAGCAAGAGCCTTTTTATATTTTTAGTAGATTAAGGTGTTTAAAAACCTAATATTTTCTTGAATTATATATCTTGAGATCTGGAAAGACTGAAGGGCTTTTAGACCCATGTTGCATGGTGTTGTCTCACGTTGACAGACGAGCGTGTTTACTTGTTTGCGCCGGCAAAACACAAAAAAATAAAAAACCTAAGCAAAACAAAACAATACCAAGCAGCACTACACAAATAAGTGAATAAAAATAAATAGATAGTAATGCTCGAACTCAAGATCGGCAACCAGAAAACGGGGCTGTAATTACTGGCCCCTGTGGACAATTACGGCCCGGCGAAAAGTCCCCTGATGGCAGTGTCCAAATTTGATCGGTGGTTTCAGTGCAATGTCCAACGTCAGCAGAATGAGAGATCCATAAATTCCTTTTCATCATTCCAGCGAAAATCGCATTTCGGAATTACCGAACGCCGAACACAAGTGAGCATATTAATCGCACCGCATATATTTATAGATCTCTGGGCAGTGGGTTTTGGGAAACTGGGAATCTGGGAATCACCTGCTATCGTTTACCGATCGATTACCCATCTATAGCCGCCTTTCAGCACCGATCTCCATTATGCAAGCCGATTATGGCGATGATGGTGCTCACATTAAGATCAAGATCATGAATCGACAAATTTGTCAGCGTGAAGTTGGTAATAATAGGTGGAGAACATGCCGTGTTATTTGAGTTTTTCTACGAAGTGTCTAGCTTGCAGTAAAGCCAATTGTTATAGTCGGATAATAAAAATAGTTAGCCGGCGAGCCAATTACAATAAAGTGTTTTAATTAAATGAGCTGCAATTATGTGCCATTTTAAAAACGAAGTTGAAATATAAGAACGAAAATTAATATTTTGAGCTGATATTTAAGAAGAAAGAAAGCTAGTTGCCCAGTTTATAAAATATGTTTTAGTAAAAAACCTATTAAGCAAGTTCTTATGATTGCAAAATAGATATGTCCCATATTGAACCTTACGTTTTGATTTATTTATATTATAAACAAACGAAGATTTGCTGATTTAGCTATGTATATTGTACAATTGTTGGCCAACTACTTTTGATTAAATTAACAATCTTAAAAATTGACTATATCCAATTTAAAAGTCATGAAGATTACTTAATCGATTCTATGGTAGCCAGACCGAAAAAAATCTCTAAAAAGAACGATTTGTAATTTAAATTGTTAAACCGGATCACAGATAGTTTCATATTTATATATTTGCATTATAGTCATCCGATCCGCGAAAGATTTATTTCATTGCTCGGAAAATTTTACCACAACATTATACATGATCACTTCAAACTTTTTAAAATCTAAAACAATTTTTGTTTAGAATTTTAATTTTTGATTTATTCGATAGGTTGAGTATTTCTGCGTTTACAGATTAATTATTTTGGAAAATAAAATGTTCAACAAAGGGGAACATTTTATAGATAAAAAACCTAGAGATTTCTGAGCGTAAAAGTGTTTCATCCCAACTCTCTCGCTTTAAAAGACTGACGGACAGACAGACATGGCTATATCGACTGATAAAGAACCAGATTATTTAAAATTTATACGGTGGAAAACGCTTTATTCTACCTGTTGCATACTTTACAACTAATATAATATACCCTGATTTTATTGTTTGTTCCAAACGGTTATTCGTAAATAATGTTAAGGAAAAAATGAACAATTAACAACATTTTTTTATTTAAATTAAATAATGAATTGTGAATACTAAAATACCAATTATCAACAAAATTGCTGAAAGGTTAAGTGCGTTTTATAACTAAAATAATATTTTTTATAACAAAATTTAGGGATAATGATGAGGAAGACGGGCCTAGTCCATATATTTATGTCATATATAACAATAAATTATTTTACTCTCTTGAAAAAAAAATTAGGATTTCAAGATCTTTTAACAAAAATCAATTAATCAGATTGTATTTAAAAATCATTTGATTCTTTGGTAATCTCGACTAAAATATTGACAATGGCGAAATTCCCGATCGGATTGAGTTGCTGAAATAAACCAGAGCTCCATCAATAAGTGCGAAACGATTGTGTTACCGGTCGTATCGGCCCATAATGGGTAATCAAGAAATCTGAAAGGAAATTGACTTGCGGCGATAATGGACTCGGTACAATTTAAATGGCCAGAGCACTAGATAGTGCCCGGCCACGATTTGTTTTTAATGGCATCAGGCCGTATAAATTGCTGTAGTTGGCTGGTTGATTTCGAATCTAAGTTCCATGGGCAAATAAAGCCATCATGCGAATCGCATGTTTTGGCCAGAACGAGAGCGTAAATCACGGCTAAATCTCTGCACTTCACCAAGGTGTCCTCCGATAAGGGGCAACCGCCCACCGGATGGGGCATCCTCGAGAGCCACAAATGTAGCTGGCCAGGGGACATCCATTTGCCATCGATGGATAAGTGCTACTTGATTGATCGATCGATCGATCCATCCATCTGTCCAGTGGATAAGTGCGAATTCGCACTGAATCGCTTTGGGGCGACAGGAAGTCTAGATAAGCGAGTGGCTAATGATTAGACTGGGGTCTAAAGAGGGCCGGAAAGGCATGCAAATATTTGGCAAACGTTTTCCATTCAATGGTAAACATTTCAAGGGCTCTATTTAACTAGCT